AATATGTTACATTTTTCATTTAGCACGACAGGTGGTTTGATCGTCGGGTAATCTTAATCTGATAAGTTGATGCATTTAAGTGACATAAGGTTTACAACTAGTGTAAAAACGTCATTTCCTTACTATTGTTCATATAAACGCACCAAGATACAGATAACTGAATATAAGTGCAAAATATAATGCATAGTTATCGAAAAAAAAACATCCTATTCAAGGGAAGATAACATCTCTTGTCCATGTAAAATTATAAACTTTTGTTATAAAAGCATGCAAACAAATATCAAACAATAAATGCAAAACTTACGTTTGAAGATAAATCTGTTGTGTGAGTGCGGGGGTATGATAGCATCGTCAGGTCTCTATATTTATACGTATCACCTTTGTCAGTTTACAAGATCCTTTACGTTAAAAATGATTAACAATTTGACCTTCGGTATAATACAAGGTAGTGTTTGTCTATGCGTTGAAATGTTACATATACCTGCATTTCGGTGTGAAAAGGTATTACTGGTGAAAACTGATGTTTTTTATCTTACAAATAAAGAAATTCACAAAGATTCTAAGCAAAAATCAACACATACATGATTTTCGTATTCACACCGCGTTTCATTCCTTGTAAGTGTTAAAATATAGTAACGGTCAGAAAGCAGGGTCAATATATATTATAAATATAAATTTTACAATCGTTACCCAAAAGAAAGATATACAGTTGTTAATATTCATAAAACACTTTTTACCTTCTTCAGGACACAAATAGTAAAATAACAAAAATACTGAACTCCAAGAAAATTCTAAACGGAAAGTCCCTTATCAAAGGACAAAATCAAAAGGTAAACACATCGATCGCTGACAACTGTCTAATTCCTGACTTGTTATAGGCATTTCCTTATGTAGAAAATGGGGGGATTAAACCTAATTTAATAACTAGCTAAACCTCTCACTTGTAAGAAAGTCGCATTAAATTCCATTATATAGACAACAATGTGTGAACAAAACAAACAGACATAATATGTCAAAAATAGGGGTACAGCGTTCAACGTTGTGTTATAATCTTAATCACAATAAAATAAATATGTCGAAAAGGAAAAACAAAATGTCATTGAGACAAAGCACAAAAGCAAAAATGACAATCGAGAATACCAAACATTACCACAGCTCAATTATACAATGGCGGGGTGTAGAAGTACCGAGCAAAAAATATATTACCAAGAAGGTTAAAAATTTATAAAGACAAATAAAAGAACAAAATAACAAGTAATAAGGATGATAAACAACGTCAGTATATAGATTCTATACTTCAAAACCCTCATGTATTATTTGTGAAGTTGATAAGGAATATTTATCAACAAGGTCTTGGTATCTTCCAATTAACTTTTTTTTTTAGAAAAAAGGACAATGATCGACAATATGTTCTTTGACATTATCCTAGTTTATCAACTTTCTGTTCAGAAATTTGTGATGTTTTATAAAATTTAAGTAGTAGCTGAAAGCTATTGAATATTAAATCAGTTGGAAAATGTATATCCCATATGCAGGTGAAGTTGTTCTATTGCTATTAAGATGTGGGAAATAAATAACTTCAAAATTAAAATTGCCTCATAGATTCTGGTACTGAGATGACTATGTCAAATTCGAGTTATAAGTCTAAAACATGTTGCAGAGGAAGCCGTGTTGTTGTTTATATTATGTCTAGTTCTTGTGTATATAATAATGGAACCAATCAACATTTTTGATTGTAAATGAAGTGAACATCATTAATTTATCTGAATGTGAAATTAAATATCTGTCTTGACTGATCTTCTTGTTTTTGACAAGTTTCTGAAGAAACTTCGACGCATATGAAAATAAGAAAAGGTCGACATCTTTCGTTCCCAAAGGAATGCCGAAAATTTGTTGAAAACATTTACCTCAAAATTTAACAAATATGTTGAAAATTAGTAACTCCAGCATACTGATCACTTGTCCCTCTGTGTAGCATGTTTCACTTTTGTATTCGCTCGCTTTTAACTAACATTGTGACGTATGATATCCCAAAGTAATACATTTGTAGCGTATGCTATCGATTTGATATTGAAAAGCAATTAAAAGTTATAGTTGTAGTATCCACTAAGTCAAAAATCTATGTCGTATATATTTGACACATTATCGGTCGTCCCACTGTCTGTATCACTCTGCTCAGCTCTTCATTTTGTTTATTTTACCTTTTTCATAATATTGTAAATCACAGTTTTTTGACGTCCAAAACGTTGACCAAAACTTAGTAACTTTGATCCAGACATATCACCGACGTCATAATGAATGAACCTAGGTTGATAAATTTGTTCGGAACTTATCATGTCATTTTCCGGTTTGCTGGTGAAAAAAGAAAACACTTGTTTCTTTTATGCACAATACGCAAATGCAACCCTGACAGGGAGGTTTCCAGATGTGTGGAGACTAGCAAATGTTATACCTGTCTATGAGAACAAGGGTAGCCCAGATTTTTACTTAATAATAAACCAATATCGTTGATGTCTAACATTGGTAAGACAAGGATGAGATGCTTGTTCAAATACCTTTTCAACTTTATTATCACAAATTCTTTCATAATAAAATTCCAGTCTGGTTTTATCCCTGGTGGGTCTACGGTAAATCAACTCATATGTATAAGTAACGATTTTTGCTAAAGCATTAGATGTAGGGAAAGAGATAAGGGTAATTTTCTGCGACATAAGTCGAGCATTCGACCGAGTTTGGCATTAAGGCTAACTTTATAAACATACACAAATTGGAATTAATGGAGGTTTGCTTCTTTGGTTTGAAAGCGATTTGAACTCAAAAAGGTAACAGGTTGTCATTGGTGAAGAAACGAGCAACACTGAGCATGTATCAGCTGGGGTACCCAAAAGGTGTTTTTTGGGTCATATTTTATTTTTATTTATATAAATGACGGAGTCAATGATATAGAATGTGATACTTAACTTTTTGTTTAAGAAACTTCAATTTATAAAGTGGTTGATAACGAATATGAAGCGGCAGAAAAGGTAAATGAAGATATTGAGAACATACATAATTTGTCTAATCAATGTCTTGTCAATTTCAACCCAAACAAAACAAAAATATTGACCATTTCAAAAGAGCACCATAAATCTTATCACCCACCAGTTTATATGAATAAAGATATCGACCATTAAATAAGGTAAGTCGCACAGGCATTTAGAAGTTATCATAAATAAAGATGGAAGCTGGAATAGTTATGTAAAAATTATTATTGATAAATCTATTTCATGATTAGCTTTATTCCGAAAGCTGAAGTGTAAACCAAAAAGGAAGAATTTAGAAACTATTTATTTATTTTTTTATACGCAAAGTCTAAGAATATGATGATATTGTCAAGGATAATATCCCTTATTATTTAAAACAATCTTTGGAAAACTTGCAACTAGAAGCAGCAAGAATTGTCACAGATGGCACCAAGATAACATCGAGACAGTTGCTGTACGATGAAACAGGATGGAAAACTCTACAGTCTCCGCGTAATAAACATAAGTTGTTAAAATTTCACCAAATGTTTCACAGAGATTGTTCTGATTGTTTTTCGGTATGAGTTCCAAATTAGAGGTTAGATCTACAGTCTGTAGTAGAGAACAGATATGTTTAGCAATTAAGACTCAGACTTCAGAGTAGTGTTCTTAGCGATCATCTATTTAAAAAAAATCTTACCGAAGACGCACTGCATTCCTGTAGTCACGTATGAACTACCTCTGATTACTTCTTCAAATGTCCAAAATAAAATGAAATTCGAATGGATATTATCAGGATAGTCTCTTGTATGTGTCTTTAGATCATCTTATATGGGAACAGTTAAAAGTCTGATGAGGACAATATGCAAATATTTTATAAAGTTTCTGTATAAATAAATCAAAACGTTTTGAAAGTTGACTCTGTATGTTTTTATTAGTTATATATACAATGTATATATATAATGATGTCTAATCGAGTGGATTGCCCGTAATCGACTATAATCTGATATGTGAGGTGGTTCCAGTGACTGTAAAGAAAGTAAAAGTTTACTGTTTCGTTGCGTTTTTTTTTTCTATTTGTTAGTTTTGGGTTTTTATGATATTTATAAAAAATTATTATATGCTACTTTAAACTGAACATACTGTTTGAATGTCATATTGTTTGTTAAATAGATGTTACTTTTTTTAGGGAGACGGATTTATAAAAGTTTTTCCTATATTTGAACTTCATATAAAATTGCAATACTACAATGTTGTAATTCTAATTGATGAATACTGTAAAAACTAACCCGATAAATTGATTATTTAGTTGACTTTATATTTATAATTGCGTTGACTCATCAAAAAGCGCAGCTTATGTTTTACAATATCAATATGCAGACAACCTGATAACCGGTACATTACACCTTGTATAATCCATCCAATTATTTGAAGAAAAAACATTATAATTTGTTAGTTTAATTGCTTGTAGTAGTCTTTCGAGGTATTTCGTATTTCAGTATGTATCACTTATGCAGATCTGCAATTGTATTCGTGTGGGTGAAAGTGAGAAAAGCAATCGAGTTGAGATGACCTAGGATAATCTGTTTATCGCTATTTAACTTATGACGACGTTGTTAATTTCATTGACAACGGGTACGTGCTCCCTTAGTTTCTAGCGATAATTTTTCATACCACTCTACTGTGCTGAGATAGGAAATTATTAGTCAGTAAGATCAAAGGAAAATTTTGTACAATAGCGATAAAGTAACATATTATAAAAAAGGAATAAATTAGAATATGACAGAATGTTTTTTAAAGCGTAACATACTATGAAATTGAAACAATCCACATTTATACTCGTCCCAAATCCAGCAGTTTATATTCAGTTCTCCGAATTACCTATACAAAAACTATGTATGACTAATCGACGTATGCAAGACACCTATCTACGGTATACTGATTAATCTGAATAGACAATACAGTGTTATCGTCCCTTGATCAAAGGTAGGTGTCGTTTCGTTACTATATTATGGAGCTGTAGAAAAAATAAAAAATACATTGAATGGAATAACTTTTAAGAAAAGAGGTTCGAGAGGTATGTTTGATTTTTTACCATTAAATCTTGATTAGATATGAAACATTATGTTTGAATTTTTAATTGCGCGACAATGGCTTGAAATACTTTATAAACACACACACTTTTACTTCAATATAATGTTAAACATTTACTGTACAAGGAAGATTTAAAAAAAAATATAGTGGTATATTTTGCGATCGTCAGCAGAAGAATGGGAACATATAAAGTAACTGAAATCAGTAAGATAACAAGTATTTCAAAAACCAAAGTTCAAGCACATATGTTAATAATTAGTCAAAGCGGTTATAAATACAGGCAACAGTGGTATACCGGTGTCCAAAAGTCATAAATCGATTAAGAGAAAACAGATCCGAGTTACAAACTAACACCGCGGGAAACACATCAACTATGTGAGAAAAACAAAGGAAACACTAAGGTGCAACAAAAACAAACGCCACCATACATAAAAACGAACTATTTGATAACATCGGTCATTTTTCTGACTTGGTACAGGACATTTTTAGAAAACAAACGGTGGTTTGAACCTAGTGAATGGCTAGCCAAACCTCCCGCTTTAAGACAATATTAAACAAATCGCTAAAATTACAAGACTACAAGACAGAAATACAGCCCTAACACAGGCAAACAACAGAGAAACGCACACAGAATAAAATCATAGTCAACACAACATACAAACCACGGAACAATAGCGAACATATTCCATCAAGGACAAACACCACAGGATATCAAAAACAGTGACGAGATTACGACACTAACATGCAATCTCGAATTTTATACTATTTATTTTTTACAATACTCGTCCATACAATTTTCATGACAATAATGTTATAGAAAAGAAATTTTATAATTATTTGGACTACAAACGATAAGACATAACAGATTTCAACCGAAACCATAACGGAAACATCAAAAATAAATAAATGAATTTTGGATGTACAAAATACACGTCGTATAGCAATACAAATTCACACTCGGTATAACAGTCATATTCGGAAATATGACTATGATGGTATTGAAAGGCAATTCATAATTATTTGGACAACAAACGATAAGGCATAACACATCAGTCAACTAAATCAAAAACAGTTACATAAAAAAAAAATACATAAATGTTGGATGTACAAAATTTCGAAACACGTCGTATAGCAATGCAAATTCACACTCGGTATAACAGTCATATTCGGGAGTAGTTCACGTTTGGTACTTAGCAGAGAGGCGACATAGATGTTAAACCACAATCTAAGACGTGGTAAAAGTGTATTTAGTCAGTTTAGAAACAGACTCATCGTATAGATCAACCAATTCGTGATGGTGTCCATAACATTTACAGAGTGTCTTTTTTAATCTTATCTCTTCATAACTCTGTTGGAGCAGTTTCTGCGTAAGGAGCACACTCCTGTATATGAAGTCAGTATAACATTGATAACAAATAATTTTTTAAATTAAAATATTTGACTTTGAAAGATAATATAAAAGTTTTAAACAGGGATTGGGTAATCGTAATTTGTAATCGTAATCGATTGCAATTGATTACATTTTTTCAAGTAATCGATAGTAATCTGTTTTCGAAAACATTTTCGATTATATGTTATCGTAATTTAATCGATTACAGCAAAAAATAGCATGTAATCATCGATTACTTTTCATCTACATTTCGATTACTTTTGTAAAATAGTTTGATGAAATATAACCTAGTTTAAATGAAAAGAGACAACTGCATGTATTCATCAGTTTACAGTACAGATAAAATAGAATGTATTAATATGACTTGAGAATTAACCAAAGGCATTATTCAGGTCTGTTCAACTCTGTTGTCTCAAGCTGCATTGTGTTCAACCAGATCTAACAAATTTTAATGTATTTCCAGCTTTTGAAAAAAATGAATTTTAATGCTTGTCAATAATTTATGACCCATAATATTAAAAACAAAAACAATACATTAAAAATACAAAAATGTCCTAAGTTAAGTTCTGTACTGCATTGAAGTAGTAAGCTTTTTTGTATTAAATTCCTTAAAGCAAAAATTTTAATTAGAGTTGGAGTTTTAGGTTTGAATAGATAAACCATTGAAACGTCATAATGTAATGATAAGAATTCAGAAAGTATATAAAATCCTGTTGAAAATGAACCAATGCATTAAAATTTTTGTTCAGTAATAGAAACATGTATCCCATTTTCACGATAAAAAAAATATTGTTTATAGTTTGCCTTTAGGTTTATATGATCCATTAATCCTATTTTGACTCTTCAAAATTCAAGAGTCTATCCTAAATTGAGGTAAATCATATGGCCTTCGAAATACCGTTTCGATTCCTAACATCACTGAAGAGACATTAACTGTCGAAATCCGGATATGGTGTACAAATTTGTGCACCTCATGTTTGCGGTATACCATCTTTTCCGCAAGTTTATTGTTTTCTGTTTTATATCTAATTAAAAATTAAGATCCATTTTGTTACATCTTGTGATCCGTTTATTTGGCAATCGCCAATGGCAGTCAGCAGAGTTTAAGAACATCAATTGTTCGACCAGTTAGTCAAATGCGTTTTGTTTAAATATACTTTTTTCACTTTTTTGGTCTTTTGGAAAATGTTGTTTGTGCTGTATTTTTATATATATATATATATATATATATATAGAGATCCGTTTATCCTATTTCGACTCTTTAAAATTCAAGAGTCTATCCTAAATGAGATCAATTAATATGCCTTCCAAATACCGTTTCGATCCCTAACACCACTGAAGAGACATTAATTGGCGAAATCCGGATATGGTGTACAAATTTGTGCACCTCCTGTTTGTGGAATACAATATTTTCCGCAAGTTTATTGTTTTCTGTTTGGTATCAAATTAATATAAAGACACATTTTGCAGGGTTTAAGAACATCCGTTGTTTGACCTGTTAGTCAAATGCGTTTGTTAAAATATACTTTTCACTTTTTTGGTCTTTTGGAAAATGTTGTGTGTGCTGTATTTAGACCCCTCTACCAAGAAATTTGTTTTACATGCACACGTATAAAAATTGCGGTTTTTATCCAACGCAATCATAGGTTTGAATGTTGTTTTCAATTTAGACAAGTTTATATTTATCGTTTGGGCTTGTATTATATTTTCCTTCGGGTTTATATGATCCGTTCATCCTATTTCGATTCTTTAAAATGGATAACAAAGGATAATATATATATATTATATACAAGTCTAAATTGAAAACAACGTTCGAACCTATGATTGCGTTGGATAAAAATCGCAATTTTTATACGTGTGCATGTAAAACAAATTTCTTTGTAGAGGGGTCTAAATACAGCACAAACAACATTTTCCAAAAGACCAAAAAGTGAAAAGTATATTTTAACAAAACGCATTTGACTAGCAGGTCGAACAACTGATGTTCTTAAACCCTGCGGACTGCCATTGGCGATTGCCAAATAAATTGATCACCAGATGTAACATGGATGTAATTAAAAGTTTAATACCAAACAGAAAACAATAAACTTGCGGAAAAGATGGTATATCGCAAACATAAGGTGCAAAAATGTGTACACCATATCCGGATTTCGACAATTAATGTCTCTTCAGTGATGTTAGGGATCGAAACGGTATTTGGAAGGCCATATAATATACCTCAATTTAGGATAGACTCTTGAATTCTAAAAAGTCGAAATAGGATGAACGGATCATATAAACCCGAAGGAAAATATAATACAAGCCCAAACGAAAAAATATAAACAAGTCTAAATTGAAAACAACGTTCAAACCTATGATTGCGTTGGATAAAAACCGCAGTTTTTATACGTGTGCATGTAAAAAAAATTCTTGGTAGAGGGGTCTAAATACAGCACAAACAAAAATATATATATATACAAGTCTAAATTGAAAACAACGTTCAAACCTATGATTGCGTTGGATAAAAACCGCAATTTTTATACGTGTGCATGCAAAACAAATTTCTTAGTAGAGGGGTCTAAATACAGCACAAACAACATTTTCCAAAAGACCAAAAAAGTGAAAAAGTATATTGTAACAAAACGCATTTGACTAGCAGGTCGAACAACTGATGTTCTTAAACCCGGATGACTGCCATTGGCGATTGCCAAATAAACGGATCACAAAATGTAACAAAATGGATCTTATAATTAATTTATTACCAAACAGAAAACAATAAACTTGCGGAAAAGATGGTATACCGCAAACATGAGGTGCAAAATTTTGTACACCATATCCGGATTTCGACAATTAATGTCTCTTCAGTGATGTTAGAAATCGCAACTGTATTTGGAAGGCCATATAATTTACCTCAATTTAGGATAGACTCTTGAATTTTGAAAGAGTCGAAATAGGATGAACGGATCATATAAACCCGAAGGCAAATATAATACAAGCCCAAACGAAAAAATATAAACAAGTCTAAATTGAAAACAACGTTCAAACCTATGATTGCGTTGGATAAACACTGCAATGTTTATACGTGTGCATGCAAAACAAATTTCTTAGTAGAGGGGTCTAAATACAGCACAAACAACATTTTCCAAAAGACCAAAAAAGTAAAAAAGTATATTTTAACAAAACGCATTTGATATATATATATATATATTCCTGTGAAATACTTCTGAGTTGCCAGGAGCATACTCAGAATATAATAAACAACATTACATAAACTATGACAATATATATTAATTAAACAATTTCTTCAAATTAAGAAAATACCATTTTAGAAAACATTTTGTTCTCATTCACAATCCTTCTCAATTCCTTTATGAATAATTCATACACATAAAATCATTTCAATTTTTGTTCTGAAATATAGTATGACTTGAAAAAGCAAAAAACTGCCAAAAAAAGTTACAACCTTAATAACCCTGATCTGATATTTTGTATTCAAATACTATTTGTTTTACTGATATCTTATTTTGAAAATTGTGTTGTGTAAAAGAACATGTAATAAAGAAATGTAAGTAATCTTTCCTATTCTGTCTCACAAAAATTACATTTACTGTTATTAGAAATTTTCCATTTGAATAATAACTGCTTTACTGGAATGATATCATTTTGCAGTTTCTATCTAAACATTTTCACCTGGTTCTCTCTTAATAATTTAAATATAAAATCGTTTACGAATGACAGATGTGGCTTGTTATCTAACTTTAAATATCTTGTTTAAATATTGATACTAATTGGTAGTTTATAAAGGAATCGAGAAGTTGTTAATTTCTGTGTCGTTTGGTCTCTTATGGAGAGTTGTCTAATTGGCAATCAAACCACATCTTCTTTTTTATTTGTTTATTTTGCATCTACTAAACAATTATATAACATTTCATTATAGTTATCTTTTGTTTGTATTTGTTTATTTCCCCATCTCAATTTATCCTTACTAATACTAATCTTAAATCAGAACTTGCTTGCCAATCATTCGAGATGGATATTTTAATATCTTTAACTCTGCAACCCAATTTGACTTAATGCTTAATTTTTCTAACAAAAACATCGGATAACTTTTCCTCACGATCCAGTATGTCGTTAATATATGTTATAAATTCACGAGTCTATTCTAAATTGAGGTAAATTATATGGCCTACCAAATACCGTTTTGATCCCTTACATCACTGAAGAGACATTAATTGTCGAAATCCGGATATGGTGTACTAATTTTTGCACCTCATGTTTGTGGTATAACATCTTTGCCGCAAGTTTATTGTTTTCTGTTTGGTATTAAATTAATATAAAGACCCATTTTGTTACTGGTGATCAATTTATTAGGCAATCGCCAATGGCAGTCAGCAGGGTTAAAGAACATCCGTTGTTCGACCTGTTAGTCAAATGCGTTTTGTTAAAATATACTTTTTCACACTTTTTTGGTCTTTTGAAAAATGTTGTTTGTGCTGTATTTAGACCCCTCTACCACGAAATTTGTTTTGCATGCACACGTATAAAAATTGCGGTTTTTATCCAACGTAATCATAGGTTTGAACGTTGTTTTCAATTAAGACTTGTATATATATAAATATATATCTATATATGTATGTAATGAATATATTAACTGCATTGTGATTGTTTAACAAAGACCTGGTACTGGATAAAACATGGAAACAGGGGTAATCCATAATATATGCGTAATTCAGAAGGGTATATACTGTGACATACCGGGCTTGCGGTGTATCACCCCTTCGTTCACGGCTCAAGGAATAGTACTTTTAATGTTTAGTCTGTTTTGGTGATATCCATTTGATGTGGCTCTGTACTTACACATCCCGTCATTGTTTTATTGTGCAATAGTAAATTTTTGTATTCTTGTCTTTAAATTTTGGTAATGTGCTTTGTCTTAATGTGTATGATTTTTTGTCTGCTTCTTTGTTACATAATTGTTTGTTTTTTAGTGATTAAGATTGTACCCTAATTTTTGGCATTTTCACCTATTATGTCTGTTTGATCACACATCGTCGGTCATATCATGGAATTTTCTGCATCTGTCATACAAGTGAGAGGTTTAGCTGGCTATAAAACCAGTTTTAATCCACCATTTTTTAAATAAGAAAATGTCTGTATCAAGTTAGGAATATATCAGTTACTTTTTTTGATGTGTTTGAACTTTTGATTTTGCCATTTGATTCTGGACTTACTGTTTTGAATTTTCCTCGGAGTTCAGTATTTTTGTTATCTAACTTTTAAAACTGGAAAAGTCACAATATCTACCTTATCGGAGACCTGAATACCATATAATTTTTTTTACTTTATATTTTATAGATATATGTCTGTCTATGTGAATTAATGACTGCAAATCATACTTTATCCATCCATCCATTTCGTATGATTAAGAAATTCCATGCGTTTGAATTTTTATGAAGTGCCTAGATTATCACCCTTATGTTGTCCGAGTAGAGCAGATTCTTCACACTACCCCCCCCACCCCCCCCCCCCCCCCCACTCCACCCCAGGGCGTATGGCATTTGCGCAGATTTAAAAAAGTTTCAATATTTCATTTGCGCCGATCGTGCACTCGTAAATTGCAGGTTATTTTTAAATTATCATTATCAACCTCTATCGTTAGCCAGTTGTACATATGTAATAAATTGTCAATTATAACATGTATATAACTGTAAACATATTTCAGTGGAAAATCCTGCCCGTTTCGTATATCAACATGATCAAAGAAAGAACTCTTGAATTGTCCGCCTCTTTACGCAACAAGTATAGAAGTGATGAAATTACAAGGAAAGAATACATCAGACGTGTAGTATATAAATACTCAGAATGGACATGGAAAGAAAAACCGGCGCATATGAAATGCAGATCGGCGCAAATGCAAAACGCCGCCTCCTCTCAACCGGGGCTGGAACTTGTACTATATATATATATATATATATATATATAGCTAATGACATACACTATTTTTCGGAATGTTACTCCTAGTGCTTAGCATTATGCAATGTACTAAATTCCACGAATTTAAATTATCTTAATCAAGAATTGCTATCCATCCATAATTGTAAAGAATAATGTCTTAGTGTTTATAACAGCGATTTCAAAATGCTTAGCCTTTACACACGTTTTGGAACAACTATTAAATAATGACTTCTAGTTTATTGCCGAGAATGTGCGCCTTCCTTGATTTGTTGAAGTTAAATGTTGTAATGTCTTTATTTGCAATAGGCACTGACCCTTAAATGTCTATACTGCTTATATCTTTTTTCGACATTTGTACATGATTGTTCAAGTAACTATTTCATTTACTGAGAGTGTTGTCGTTTATGTGTGACAAATGAATTTCACAGAAAATAAATCGAGCTTTGTATTTTAGGACTATCTTCGCGTTTCAAAGTTTTGAACTAAATTTTACGACACTCATTGAAAATTTTCCCTTCATTTGTCCTTGAAAGAAAAATCAATACATCAAATGATAAACATGTTTGTTTTGTTACTGGTTTATATTGTTTTGTTCATAAGAGGGATATATTGCTAAAGTTTACATTAAAACAAGTCTTTTAGAGAACAAACGAAGCAGTTGCTCTGTAACTCATTTTATGACGATATTTCTTTAAGAATAACTTTTACATCATCTTGCAGAATATTGACGTCTAAAATCTACGCCCTGACATATTGTTCGAATTATGCCATAATAATGAAACTTAAAGTATATGCTTCGTTAATTTCATTAAATGTTATAAAAATGAATATTCATTTTATATCAGACGTCGCAGTCTTGTTCGGTATTTAAGTACGAGCTTGTCCTTTCTTTTGCTCCCGATTAATGACTATTATAGGGCCTCAATAGCATCACTTTTAAATGACATTAATTGTTGAAATGCACATCTGAAGTAAAACATTTGGTATCCTTTGTGTTATCAATTGACTACGATTGCCAATTCTTCTACCGAATTCGAAGGTCGGTTGTTTATTCAAGGCACTCCGACTTCCTCCACAAATAAAACTGACTGCCACAGTAAAGCCAATTGGCTAAAAAATGGCATTAAATTCCAATCAATCAATCATTTTAATAAAGGAGTAGGGGCAATAAGGCCCTTTTTTGGCCCAAATATTACTGCAAATTTAAAAGTTATCATACATATTTTTAAAGTTGTCCAAACTAGACTAAGGTACAAGGTATTCAGAAAATAAAAAACAAATTTCACATTGAACGAGTGACCATGGCAACAAACCATGACAAACTTTGCATATTTTGTAAAATTTCTTGATTTTCCTTGTTTTTCATCAAATTTTAAGTATATTTTAGATTTGAAAAGTATGTGCGCACCCAAGAAACAATTTTATATTTGGTGAGATTATGTCAATAGTTATAATAAAGCTTCTCTGAAATTATTTTGTTGTTTCTTGGCTGCGCACGATGTTTCCACAATGGAAATAACGATGAAAAACTGCATAAATTCTGTATTTTTCATCGTTTTATTGAAAACGGTACATATTTTGACGTAATTGTGACGTCATCAGATAATAATCTTTATGTTTTTCATTTATATTTCTTGACACTATGCATTTCCAAACATATTGTTCCAATTTGAAATAGTTGTCAAACATTTTATTTTCTTGGGCCAAAACCGGGCCTTAATGCCCCTACTCCTTTCCTAAAGAAAATAGGTCAAATGTTTATAGAAAATATAAGGAATGGCAAGATATTTTGAGAGTCTGTCTATTTATTTAATTGGACAAATTAAGAAATTCCATGAAAGGAAAGGAGAATTATTAAACTGTTCATTAATTATTTCATATCCAGAGTTATATATATGATGTGGTATATTCAGAGGTAGACTGATATTTTTTCTTGTTAGGCTTACTAGACGATTTATCCCTGTAATAATTATAAGGATGTTGAACGAATTTAAAGCCTGTTTCTAGTGTACTTCTAACATACGAATAATGAGTTCATCAGATTCTTGCCTTGTTGTGTTTTCTGTCCTCTAATGAAGTTATGTCTTAAATGAAACCATTAGACGACAGGAAGTATGTAATAGTGTTCTAAAATACTGGTGTCTCAGCAGATAGTCAATAGAGAGTAAATGATGGCTTATTTCTGGTAGTGTTTTTGAAGAACGCAACGATTTAAAAGGTATTTTGTTGAATTGCTGACTCCAATTCGTTGTTCAGTGAGTTGTTCCTTATGCTTGCCATCCCTGTGTTAAACACCAAGATAGATACACAAGCCCAGTTTGAGTTGACACATTGACAGGTTAACGTAAACATTGTCTATTCCAACTTTTCCGACAAATTCATTTACTGTCTCAAAATCCAATGATATGTGCATCAATAAATCCAAGTTTGTACATCCTAACTATAAATTTCACAGATTGTATATATTTCAGAATGAAGATGATGTTCTATAATGTAGCAGCTTGTCTACTTGTCATCGCAGTGTCAAATGACAGGGTATTATCATGTCCCAGCATATGTTACTGCTCCACAGATATCAATGGGGTTAATGTAAATTGTGGAAATAGAGGACTGACCGTTATTCCGAGAAACTTCACAAATGACTCATACACCATGTAATATGTTTTTTTTTCTCCGTTATTTACAATCAGTTATTTTTGAAACTTATACAATTATGATCATTTGATGCTTTTTGTAAAAATAGTGAGAACAAAACAAAAAACAAAAATATACAACACCATAAATTAAAGAAAAAAGAAAAGTATGCTTACAACAGGCCCATAAGAGTTCTATTCATTGATTTTGAATGCTTGTTACAAAGGAATATTTGATTTTTTTAACAAATGATAGTCAAAAACGTCTTCTACAAATCAGTTGTTCTTCTCTGCAATTCAAATGTCCACCACATATATATTTCATAGATTTTTCATTGCGAAAAGTAAACTAACAAAATATCAATCTTCAAAGAAAATTAAAACAAAAAATCCCTTATCAAACGGTAAAAATAATAGCTCAAACACATCAAACGAATGGAAAAAACTATATTCATGACTTGGTAAAAGCATTTCTTTATCTAAAAATGGTTGATTTAACTTGATTTTATACTTATCTAAACATATCACTCATGTGACTTTGAACATCAGCTGTATTTTTTACGAGGCTAAAAAACAGGTATAACGCGAGCTTAAGCGAGAACTAATACAGCTGGTATCTAAAGACAGTAAACAGTTATTATTTTTATCCTGCAAATAATTTTGTACATTGTTTTAACTATCAATGACAGAAAAACTGAAATGAATTGCATTTATATTTGATTTAAAACTCTTTGAGGACCGCGTAGTAATATGACAAAAGTAACACAACCAGCTGATGACCGGTACTCCAAAAAAGAATCTCGCATGATCGACAATAATACATCGCTCAAAGTTTATAATTATCAATAGTAAAAGAAATAACAAAACATTGGTCGATTTCAGACAAAAGTGTTTGATCTGTGATACGCTCTAGGATTTCGAACTGTCTGTGCATTCACTGATTATTGACATTGTTGCATGGTTGATTTTGTGATTTGCATATTCAAGTTTTGAACTTGAAGATTGTCGCCGTAGAAAATCTAGTTGATTCTGCTGTTCATGTTTGTCTATGATAAGAAAGTGGGTTGCGGATCGGAGGGTTGAACACTCATAGACGAAGCAATACGTCATTGCAATGCGATTGCAATACACGTTAAGAGTCACGAAAGTTCATACAAAACTCGTCAACAGCAATAAACAAAAATAGTCCTGCAGTTAGCGGAGCTCAAAACGATGTCTGTATAGTATTCAAATATCTGTTGGGCTGTTAATGTGTGATAAGACAGCAGATTGTAGGATAAATGCAATTGAATTATGCTCTAGTTCGTCTGAATTAAACTATCATAACTTATTTATAAAATAAAAACACAACCCATATATCAGAATTAGATTTCCTTGTGAAACTTCTCAAACACATTTCTTCTGTAGCTCCAATGTTTAAGGTGACCGCTGAGTTCTTGAAGTCTTCTTTTTGCAGTATCATTTGTGGAGCAAATTCGTTTTTTCCGCATGGCATTGGCTGTGCTGAATGGTCTTGATACAATGTTTCGGATGACAACTCAAATGGGAAAGATACATGATTTGCGAAACAGATCTGTGAATATCATCGCATCCTTCACTTGCGTAACAGTGTCAATAAATGTGATCTTAGAGTCAGATATTTCATAAATGAACGTTATAAAGGAATGAGCATCGTTGACAGTTACTGAATTAAAATTAAAAAAATGTCTAAAAATATAACACGCTAATTGAAGCATTCAAAATGTTCCATTAAATTTTGAATGGAAATAAGCAATAACTCGTAAGACAAATTAGCTTCCTCAGTCGTGTGCATCTAAAATACAGTCGGTTTAAACGTTTTAACAGGCGCTAACATTCACCCTAACCTGCAACAGTAGAATATCATTACAACATAAAAAGACACTATCAAAATCAATTGATATGGCTTAAGTCGATCAAAAAGAAATATTAACAAAAACAATATCTACATCTTTGTGAAGTTAAACTCTTCAAACAGAATAACCAGTGGTACGTTATTTGTTTCACTTAACTGCAATGCTACAGTTGTCTTATGGGATACTATGACATTTAGTGATATTGTTTTATTATAACTTGAAGATATTTATTCTGAACATAGTATGGTTTTTACACTACGTAATGATGTTGTTATAATAATCAATATAGTTTAGTTGTCAATAAATGATATTTTGATATTAAATGATATGGTATCGTAATGACTTGATATGGTTTCGGCCTTATTTAATATGATTTCATTATTTAAAGAGGATGTGGCAGTAGGCAATGTTCTTTTAACATTACTTGGTGTGTATGTGGATAAACGGAATATAATATTTTCAGAACGTAATATTTAGTTTTGTTATTTCGTAATAATAATGTTATCGTTCAAGTTTTGATACGGTTTTGCCACTGTTTGATGAGGTTATCACTTAAATTAAGGAGGCAAAATCGACTACCCTTTTTGAAAAACAAATTTATTTTAAACCGATTTTAATGTCGTTTGTTGTATGAGCCTCGAATGGGGGTGCTATCCATCGAGTTAAAGTTCGCGTTACTGTTTGCGTTATTCAGTTCAAGAAATAAAGTCAAAATTAGAGCTAAAGTTCGAGTTAGAATTGATTTTACAGTTACCATTCGAGTAAAACTGCTAGTCACATTTCAAGGTTGAGTTACAATTATAGTTCAATTTTTTTCGAGTAACATTTCGATGTATACGAAATAAGTACGTGTTTTCAATTTTCGTCTTAAAATCGGGTTTTAAGTTGCTACTTCGACAAGGACATGATGGCCAAGTATAAAGTTAGTTAAAATCTGTAAACTGTTTCTTGAACATAAGGAGAATGTCCTTCGCCCAACAGTTCCATCGGCTAGAATTTCAATAATTATCTAATACAGGTGGTTAAGATAAAATTCTTGCAGCTTAACGAAAGAGAGGCGAAAAGTAACAAATAGACATTCAAACTTATGTCGAAAACGAACTGACAATACCACAGCAAAAGAAAGGCAAGAATTTCATCTCAACTTTTTGTATGAAAATAGAATTTAGAATAGAAATGGTGAATGATATTGAGATATCAAATTCAAGATAAAAACGGTTTTTGTTTGTATTTTTGTACGTGATAACGGTGATAATATAAATTTTTCATCAAAATTGAAAATGTTTGTTTAATGAAGGGTATTATTTGGGTCAAATTACGTTAAATATGAAAAATATATTATTGTACTATTACTTGTTAATCGGTAATGATTCAATGTAATATCAGTCTGTCTAAAAAATTGAAAACAACACGTTTAATAATTTCATGCGTCCGAAGCGCTTTTCTGGATTTACCTTCATCAGGAACGCTCAAAGCCAAACATTTGAAATCCAAGGATGTATAAGTACCGAAACCGTTGAAGAGCTATATGACAAAAATACCTAAAATAAATAGCCAAATTCATCTAAAGTCAACGTTGCCTTAGGGAGTTGAAACCTTAGTTTCTTAATAATTTCAAAATTTAAAAACGGACAATTTTAGAAAAGTTTGTTAATCATGTCAGTACCGAAGTACTAACTACTGAGCTGATGATACCCTCGGGGACTGATAGTCCACCAGCAGAGGTATCGACCCAGTGATGTAAAAAATTGAAATATGTGAAGTGCGTACAATTACTTGGTAAGATAATGACATTTTACAATATCTTTCTTCGATTTGTCTATTCTTAATCGATTTATGAGATCTGAACATCAGTCAACTGTTTTTTCTTTGATTTATAATTTTTTTCAGAGGTTGTAAAAAAATCACTTGGACTTTTACAAATGTATAACGGGAAAACATATAAAATAGATCTATGTAACAAAATAACAATTTAGATTGTTCATGTGTTTTTAATACACAAAATTATGTAACTGTTTCCTAGGTTTTGTACATAACTGTAACTGTTGGTATTGTTTTGAATTGTAATATCTATTCAAGATGTAAAAGAAAAATAACGACCAGTATAAGCGAAAAGTATGGCATAATTTCTTCATTTGTTAATTGATATATATTGATGTTTACTTTTAGAAGCAGCGAAACGTATTTGATTTTCTTTGATAATGCCTTCAGAAAAAACAAATAGGAAAACTAGTCCATTGTCTTATATTGAAGTTCACACAATAGAGCATACTTTGTCTGTATTAGTATTTCGCAACTTAGTTGACTAAGTATTGTCTGTGATTTTACCTTGCAGTTACCACATTCCAACAATGATCGTTAATTTTACAAAAAAACGATTGTTTGAATAATTTCTTTCTCTATATATTGAAACAGGAAATCTAAGAGTCAAAATGGTTTACAAATATTAGACTAGACCACAAAGACGTTGTTAAACACGAAGTAACATTTACATGTTATATCAATCTTAAATATTGAAAAACAGAACACGACAGTTGTATTAAAATTGAAAGATAACAGATTCAAACTCACGCATTACGTCATATATAAGATTTTTAGAGCAAAAACATTTGTTTGTTTAAAAGTCTTTTATTCAAGCAGTAAAATGATATAAATTTGGTTCTTTTATTTATCCGCTTAAAGCTTTGATTATATTTCAATGATAACATTTGAAATACTTGACAAGTGATGAGATTCGAAAATGTCAACACAATCTATAAATGTGGAATTTAATTCATCCTTTACCGGTAACAGGATAACAAAATCATTAAGGTTATCTCATAATTACGTAATTTATTTCAGAAATTTGTGCAACAATCAAATTACTACAATACAGCAGGGAGCATTTCAAAACTTACCAGCACTGCTGACACTGCATGTATACATGTTTATAAATTAAAGCAAATGTGGTATGAGTGCTAATGAGACAACTCTCTATCCAAGTCACAATGTAAAAAAAGTAAACCATTTTAAGTCAACGTACGCCCTTCAACACAGAGCCTTGACTCACATCGAACAGCTAACTATAAAGAGTCCCAAAATGACGAGTGTAACTCAATTCAAACAGGAAAACCAACGGTATTATCTGTAAACATAAACGAGAAACGAGAAACACTTCTGAACCACATCAACAAACTTAAACCACTAAACAAGTGGTTCATGACCTAGGATAGGTGCAAGGAAACGCAGCGTGTATAAAAGTTTCAGAGGCAACACCCTACACCCGTATCTGCAACAGTAGTATAACATTATAACATAGAAAGACACTATAAAATATCAATTGAAATGGCTCAACTCGATTAAAAAGAAATATTAACAATAACAATATATTACAAACCTGATTTTTGATCAATAAATGCATCTTTCTGGAGTTCAGCTCTTCAAAGAACAAAACCAATAGTAAGTTGTTCGTTTGACTTAACGCTATGGAATGCTACAATTGTCTTAGGGAATACTATGACGTTAGGGGACATGGTTTTTTTGATAACTTGAAGATATTTTGTGATACATACAAATGTAGTATAGTTTTTACACTACTTAATGATGTTGTGAAAATACTCAATATGGTTTAGTCTTTACTCAATGCTATTTTGATATTAGGGTATGGTTTCGTAATGACTTGATGTTATTTTGAATTTACTTAATATGATTTCATTTATTAAAGTGGATGTGGCTTAAAGCAATGTGGATTAAACATTACTTGATGCGTATATGTAACACGGAATATCGTTGTTTCACATGTTTCAGAACATAATATGTTGTTTTGTTATTTCGTAATTTTGATGCTTTCGTTCAAGTTTTTGGTATGGTTTTGTCTTTATTTGTTGAGGTTATCACATATATCGATGAGGCAAAACCGATTACCCTTTTTGTGAAAAAAAAATCTATTTTAAACCGATTTTAATGTGAGTTTTTTTTATGAGCTTCGGATGGTGATGCTATCCATCGAGTAAATGTTTGCGTTACTGTTCGCATCATTCACTTCTAGAAATCAAACCAAAATTAGAGCTAAAGTTCGAGTTAGAGTTACGTTTACGGGTAACATTTGAGTTAAGCTTTAAGTTTTAGTTACATTTAAAGGTAGAGTCTAACTTTTTTTCGAGTAAAATGTCGATATATTTGGAATGAGCAAGTACTTTTAATTTTTGTTGCAGATTCAGGTTTTACGCTGGTATTTTGACAAGGGGCTGAGGGGCATGCGTAAAGTCAGTTTATATCTTAAGAAAAGTACACAAAAACACTATTTTAAATGTAAAGAGAATGTCCTCCGCCCTGGATTTTCAATAAATATTTGATACAAAGAGTTAAGATAAAGTTCTTCAAGCGTAAGAAAAAAAAAAAGACGAAAAGTAACAAAGAAATATTCAAACTTATAAGTCGAAAACGACTTGACAATGTCATGCCAAAAAAAAAATGGAAGAATTTTATCTTAACTATTTGCATGAAAATAGAATTGTGAATGGAAAAGGGGAATGATATTGAGATATTAAATTCAAGATAAAAGAAGATATTTTTTTAGTATTTTTGTACGTGATGACAGTGATAATATACAAAAATTGGTCAAAATTGAAATAAAATTGAGAATGGAAATGAGGAACGTGTCAAAGAGACAACAACCCGACCATAGAGCAGACAACAACCCAACCATAGAGCAGACAACAGCCGAAGGCCACCAATGGGTCTTCAATGCAACGAGAAACTCCCGCACCCGGAGGCGTCCTTCAGCTGGCCCCTAAACAAATGTTTGTTTAATGTATTATTTGGGTCATTTTACGTTAAATATAAACAAAAATTATAAAAATAGAAATGTTTGTATAATGAACTGTATTATTTCGGTCAAATAAAGTAAGATTTAAAAAAATATATTATTGTACTACTACTTGTTAATCGGTAAAGATTTAATGTAATGTGAGTTTGTCTAAAATGTGATGCAAATACAACTACTTTATAAGATAATGACATTTTACGATATCTTACATCGATTTGTCTATTCGTAATCGATTCAGAGATTGTAAAAATCTATTCGTAATCGATTCAGTGATTGTAAAAAATCACTCGGACTTTTACAAATTATCACAGGGAAACATATAAAATAGATCTATGTAACAAAATAACAATTTAAATTATTAATGTGTTTTTAGTACACAAAATTATGTAACATTTTGCAAAGGTTTGTACAAAACTGTAATTGTTGGTTTTGGTTTGAATTTGTCATAGCTATTTAAGATGTAAAAGAAAAATAACGACCAGTTTTAGCGAAAAGGACGGCATAATTTCTTCATTTGTTCATTGATATATATTGATGTCTACTTTTAGAAACAGCGAAACTTTTTTGATTTCCTTTGCTAATACCTTTAGAAAAACAAATGGGACTGTTAGTCCATTGTCTTATATCCAAGTTCACACAATAGAGCATATTTTTCCTGTATCAGTATTTCGCAACTTAGTTGACTAAGCATTGTCTATGCTTTTAACAAAACAGTAACCAAATTCCACCAATGGTCGTTAACTTTACAGGAAACGATTGTTTTAATAATTTCTTTGTCTATATATATATTGAAATAGTAAATCTAAGAGTCGAAATGGTTTACAAATATTATACAACAACAACGTGTTTAAACGAAGTTCAATGTAAATGATTTATCATCTTAAATTTCAAAAGAAGAACACGACATATGTTTAAAAATAAAAAGATGACTAGATTCAAACTCAAATACACGGACTATGGTTGTTTCAGAATGTAATATGTGGTTATGTTAATTCGTTATAATGATGTGTTCGTTCCAGCTTTTGAAATGGTTTTGTCATTATTAGATGAGGTTATCACATAAATTGATGAGGCAAAACCGATTACCCTTTTTGTGAAGAAATAAAAAATCTATTTTAAACCGATTTTAATGTCGTTTGTTATATGAGCCTCGTGGGGGTGCTATCTATTGAAATAAAGTTCGCGCTTCTGTTTGCGTTATTTAATTCTAGAAATCAATCACAAATTAGAGTTAATGTTCGAATTAGAGTTGGGTTTACAGTTACCATTCAACTTCAGGTACCATTCAAGTTTTAGACACATTTAAAGGTAAAGTTTAAGTTACAATTCGAGTTCAAGTTTTTTCGAGTAATATTTCGAAATATTTGAAATAAGTGCATATTTCTTATAGTCGTCACAGATTCAGGTTTCAGGTTGGTAGTTCGACAAGGGTCTGAGTGGCATGCGTTAAGTCAGTTAAAATCGGAAACAAACGTACACAAAACACTATTTCATTAACGTAAAGAGAATGTCCTCCGCCCAATGGTTTCATCGGCTACATTTTCAATAGTTTTTTAATACAAATAGTTAAGATAAAATTCTTGCAGCGTATCAAAAGACAGCCAAAAGGTAACAAAGAGACAGTCAAACTCATAAGTCGAAAACGAACTGACAATGTCATGGCAAAAGAAACGAAAGAATTTTATCTTAACTATTTGTATGAAAATAAAATTTAGAATGGAAATTGGGAATGTGTTAAATAACCGAATAGCAAAATTTCACCGAATACCACCAATAAGTCTTCATCACATCGAGAAAATCTCGCACCCGGAAGCGGGCATCAGGTGGCCCCTAAACAAAAATGTGTGCTAGTTTAGTGAAAATGGACGTCAAACTCCAAAACATATAAATGAACTAAAATTTAAAAAACATAAAAGACTAACAAATGCCAGAGGCTCCTGACTTGCGACAGGCGCAAAAAAGCGGCGGGGTTAAATATGTTTTGTGAGATCTCAACCCTCCCCTTATACCTCTAGTAAATGTGGAATAAGCAAACAGCACAGTAGAACTCAGTTCAAAAAATTACCGAGGCCGATTTCAGAATAGGTATCAAAAGAAACTAAACATTTAACTATTCACATGATAAATTAACAGATGAACACCAAAACAGATATTTTTTGGCGACCAATTCTTCGATTATTTGAATAATATCATAAGTTATTTGATATATATATAATATATATATATATATTATATATCTCATTGATGTATGAAGGTTTGTTCTTCAGCTATTTTATTATAATGTTTTTCAGAAGTTTGAGTGGAAACAATCTGACATTTGTCAAGAATGACACTTTTGAACATAACATCAACTTAAAATATCTGTAAGTACAAATATGTTTATTAAACGATTGATAATTGGATGACGTTAGCAACCGATTTTTTAATGCATTATTAGATTACTTGGTTCCTCTTTCGTCGTGTGATAACGTGAGATTTAGCAATTGCGACAAGAACCTAAGCAAGTGTTTGAATGACATTTTTTGATTGTTTTAACATCGTTACCTGTTTTCGAGGTAAATTTCAGTCTATAAAAAGTGTAACACTTATCAATATATCAATTTAAGATGATAAAGAATATAAACATAACAGTATTTGATACAAGATTAATAAAAACATCTATAAGTTTCAGAAAAGTTATTACAATAAAAAGTTTTTACGTATACGTAAAGTCGTTTTATCTTCAAATCGGATAGTGTAGTTATAAAAGGTGTTACTGTAACGAATCACTTGTACTTTTACAAATGTATCACAGGGATACATATATCATAGATATATGTAACAAATTCACAATTTGAATTATTAATTTTTTTTAAATGCATACAATTATGTCACAGTTTGCTAGGTATTGTACAAAACTGCAATTGTTGGTATTGTTTTGAATTTTGATAGCTATTTAAGATGTAAGAGAAAAATAACGACCAGTATAAGCGAAAAGGACGGCATAATTTCTTCATTTGATAATCTATATATATTGATGTCTACTGTTTGAAGCATCGAAACTTGATTTCCTTTGATAATGCCTTAATAATAACAAATAGGACTGTTAGTCCATTGTCTTATATCCAAGTTCACACTATAGAGCATATTTTGTCTGTATCTGTATTTTGCAACTTAGTTGACTAAGCCTTGTCTATGCTTTTATCAAACAGTAACCAACCTCCTACAATGATCGTTATTTTTTCAAGAAACGATTGTTTTAATAATTTCTTTGTCTATATATATATATTGAAATAGAAAATCTAAGAGCCAAAGTGGTTTACAAATATTAGACCACAAATGCGTTGTTAAACACAAAATTACATGTAAATGATATCACTCTTAAATTTCGAAAAGCAGAACACGACAGTTGTTTTAAAATTCAAAAATGACTAGATTCAAACTCACGCCCTGCCTCATACAAAAAATTTTTATAGCAAAAAATTGTGCGTGTTTAAAATGCTATTATTCAAGCCGTAAATTGAAATAAACTTGGTTCTTTTGATTAGCTGCTTAAAGTATCGATTATTTTTCAATAATTACACTTGAAATATTTGACAAGTGATGAAATTCGAAAATTCCAACACAATGTTTGAATGTGGAAATTAATTCATCCTTCACAGGTAACAGAATAATAAAAGCATTATGGCTATCTCACCATTACTTTGTTACAGATATTTGTACAACAATCAAATAACTACAATACAGCAGGGAGCATTTCAAAACTTATTAGCACTGCAGACACTGTATGTATACATAGTTATAGAAATAAGCAGATGTAGTATGAGTTCCAATGAGACAACTCTCTATCCAAGTCAAAATTAATAAAAAGTAAACCATTATAGGTCAACGTACGGCCTTCAACATGGAGCCTTGACTCACATCGAAGAGCAAACTATAAAGGGCCCCAAAATGACTAGTGTAAAACTATTCAAACAAGAAAAGCAACGGTATAATCTACAAAAAAAAACGAGAAACGAGAAACACTTATGAACCACATCAACAAATGAAAACTACTGAACAAGAGGTTCCCGACTTAGGATAGGTGCAAACAAATGCAGCGGGTTTAAACGTTTTAACAGGCGCCAACCTACACCCTAACCTGCAACAGTAGTATAACATTACAACATTGAAAGACACACTATAAAATATCAACTGAAATGGCTCAACCCGATCAAAAAGAAATATTGACAAAAACAATATATTACAAATATGTTTATTGATCAATAACTACATCTTTCTTGAGTTCAGCTCTTCAAACAGAATAACCATTGGTACGTTGTTCGTTTGACTTAACAGTACTCAACGCTATGGAATGCTACGATTGTCTTAGGGAATACTAGAGATTTCCAATAAAATGACATTACTCGACATAACCGACCTATCTCACCGTATCTCAGCCTGTTGCAGTGAAGGGCAGCATAGACTGCATGAATTGTTGACTCGTTGAATACACATACTTTGTTATGTTGAATGTTATTTAAAAATTAGCACAAACTACTGTTTTAATTCTTTACATATTTTGTTATTAAATTTGGGGTGATTTCATTGACAACAACCTTAAAGGGAATAATTAGTTAAGTTACCTGTAATCAAATACATAGATCATTATACTTCGTCATTTCACTTGACCCATATATTTTTCTCTCAAACGATGAATTCCTAAAGCTCATAAATCAAAATTAAGTTTGAACAAATAAAAATAACGGAATCTGAAGCGTGATCATATTCTCATTTTTAAGTAATAACAAGAGTTTCAAACACGCCGGAATGTAAAAGGTGTACACGACTTGCCTCTTCTTAATTTTTTGCATACTTCTATAATTTATTTCAAGATACTTTTGTCGAAAGGTAAAAATTCAGATTACGGATGCATCTTTCTCATAGTACTGTGTCACCTTTCCGTAATATTTTATCAAATGGAATTGATGAGGACGCATCTGCACGAAATATATGATTACACTTTACTGAATCATTTAATTTGTTTATATCTTGTCTTTAATTGTTATGATGCATGGATTCTAGGAAGAGCCCGTACAAACGTAGGTGTAATTTAATGTCAATGATCTTAAACTGATTTTTTTTCTGAAATATTTTGCGTTTAATTATACAAATACGTATGAAAAACGGACATGTACAGGCTATTTAATTGAATTTTTGTTAAGTAAGATGATCTTTTTTAGTTTTATGGCCAACTTATGATAGCATGGGAATATTATATTTACTGGTCTGTGCATCCTTCCGTTCTTCCGTTCTGATCAAAATATAAAAATTTTGATAGCTATTTAAGATGTAAGAGAAAAATAACGACCAGTATAAGCGAAAAGGACGGCATAATTTCTTCATTTGATAATCTATATATATTGATGTCTACTGTTTGAAGCATCGAAACTTGATTTCCTTTGATAATGCCTTAATAATAACAAATAGGACTGTTAGTCCATTGTCTTATATCCAAGTTCACACTATAGAGCATATTTTGTCTGTATCTGTATTTTGCAACTTAGTTGACTAAGCCTTGTCTATGCTTTAATCAAACAGTAACCAACTTCCTACAATGATCGTTATTTTTTCAAGAAACGATTGTTTTAATAATTTCTTTGTCTATATATATATTGAAATAGAAAATCTAAGAGTCAAAGTGGTTTACAAATATAAGACCACAAATGCGTTGTTAAACACAAAATTACATGTAAATGATATCACTCTTAAATTTCGAAAAGCAGAACACGACAGTTGTTTTAAAATTCAAAAATGACTAGATTCAAACTCACTCCCTGCCTCATACAAAAAATTGTTATAGCAAAAAATTGTGCGTGTTTAAAATGCTATTATTCAAGCAGTAAATTGAAATAAACTTGGTTCTTTTGATTAGCTGCTTAAAGTATCGATTATTTTTCAATAATTACACTTGAAATATTTGACAAGTGATGAAATTCGAAAATTCCAACACAATGTTTGAATGTGGAAATTAATTCATCCTTCACAGGTAACAGAATAACAAAAGCATTATGGCTATCTCACCATTACTTTGTTACAGATATTTGTACAACAATCAAATAACTACAATACAGCAGGGAGCATTTCAAAACTTATTAGCACTGCAGACACTGTATGTATACATAGTTATAGAAATAAGCAGATGTAGTATGAGTTCCAATGAGACAACTCTCTATCCAAGTCAAAATTAATAAAAAGTAAACCATTATAGGTCAACGTACGGCCTTCATCATGGAGCCTTGACTCACATCGAAGAGCAAACTATAAAGGGCCCCAAAATGACTAGTGTAAAACTATTCAAACAAGAAAAGCAACGGTATAATCTACAAAAAAAAAACGAGAAACGAGAAACACTTATGAACCACATCAACAAATGAAAACTACTGAACAAGAGGTTCCCGACTTAGGATAGGTGCAAACAAATGCAGCGGGTTTAAACGTTTTAACAGGCGCCAACCTACACCCTAACCTGCAACAGTAGTATAACATTACAACATTGAAAGACACACTATAAAATATCAACTGAAATGGCTCAACCCGATCAAAAAGAAATATTGACAAAAACAATATATTACAAATATGTTTATTGATCAATAACTACATCTTTCTTGAGTTCAGCTCTTCAAACAGAATAACCAGTGGGACGTTGTTCGTTTGACTTAACAGTACTCAACGCTATTGAATGCTACGATTGTCTTAGGGAATACTAGAGATTTCCAATAAAATGACATTACTCGACATAACCGACCTATCTCACCGTATCTCGGCCTGTTGCAGTGAAGGGCAGCATAGACTGCATGAATTGTTGACTCGTTGAATACACATACTTTGTTATGTTGAATGTTATTTAAAAATTAGCACAAACTACTGTTTTAATTCTTTACATATTTTGTTATTAAATTTGGGGTGATTTCATTGACAACAACCTTAAAGGGAATAATTAGTTAAGTTACCTGTAATCAAATACATAGATCATTATACTTCGTCATTTCACTTGACCCATATATTTTTCTCTCAAACGATGAATTCCTAAAGCTCATAAATCAAAATTAAGTTTGAACAAATAAAAATAACGGAATCTGAAGCGTGATCATATTCTCATTTTTAAGTAATAACAAGAGTTTCAAACACGCCGGAATGTAAAAGGTGTACACGACTTGCCTCTTCTTAATTTTTTGCATACTTCTATAATTTATTTCAAGATACTTTTGTCGAAAGGTAAAAATTCAGATTACGGATGCATCTTTCTCATAGTACTGTGTCACCTTTCCGTAATATTTTATCAAATGGAATTGATGAGGACGCATCTGCACGAAATATATGATTACACTTTACTGAATCATTTAATTTGTTTATATCTTGTCTTTAATTGTTATGATGCATGGATTCTAGGAAGAGCCCGTACAAACGTAGGTGTAATTTAATGTCAATGATCTTAAACTGATTTTTTTTCTGAAATATTTTGCGTTGAATTATACAAATACGTATGAAAAACGGACATGTACAGGCTATTTAATTGAATTTTTGTTAAGTAAGATGATCTTTTTTAGTTTTATGGCCAACTTATGATAGCATGGGAATATTATATTTACTGGTCTGTGCATCCTTCCGTTCTTCCGTTCTGATCAAAATATAAAAATTTTGATAGCTATTTAAGATGTAAGAGAAAAATAACGACCAGTATAAGCGAAAAGGACGACATAATTTCTTCATTTGATAATCTATATATATTGATGTCTACTGTTTGAAGCATCGAAACTTGATTTCCTTTGATAATGCCTTAATAATAACAAATAGGACTGTTAGTCCATTGTCTTATATCCAAGTTCACACTATAGAGCATATTTTGTCTGTATCTGTATTTTGCAACTTAGTTGACTAAGCCTTGTCTATGCTTTAATCAAACAGTAACCAACTTCCTACAATGATCGTTATTTTTTCAAGAAACGATTGTTTTAATAATTTCTTTGTCTATATATATATTGAAATAGAAAATCTAAGAGTCAAAGTGGTTTACAAATATTAGACCACAAATGCGTTGTTAAACACAAAATTACATGTAAATGATATCACTCTTAAATTTCGAAAAGCAGAACACGACAGTTGTTTTAAAATTCAAAAATGACTAGATTCAAACTCACGCCCTGCCTCATACAAAAAATTTTTATAGCAAAAAATTGTGCGTGTTTAAAATGCTATTATTCAAGCAGTAAATTGAAATAAACTTGGTTCTTTTGATTAGCTGCTTAAAGTATCGATTATTTTTCAATAATTACACTTGAAATATTTGACAAGTGATGAAATTCGAAAATTCCAACACAATGTTTGAATGTGGAAATTAATTCATCCTTCACAGGTAACAGAATAACAAAAGCATTATGGCTATCTCACCATTACTTTGTTACAGATATTTGTACAACAATCAAATAACTACAATACAGCAGGGAGCATTTCAAAACTTATTAGCACTGCAGACACTGTATGTATACATAGTTATAGAAATAAGCAGATGTAGTATGAGTTCCAATGAGACAACTCTCTATCCAAGTCAAAATTAATAAAAAGTAAACCATTATAGGTCAACGTACGGCCTTCAACATGGAGCCTTGACTCACATCGAAGAGCAAACTATAAAGGGCCCCAAAATGACTAGTGTAAAACTATTCAAACAAGAAAAGCAACGGTATAATCTACAAAAAAAAAAACGAGAAACGAGAAACACTTATGAACCACATCAACAAATGAAAACTACTGAACAAGAGGTTCCCGACTTAGGATAGGTGCAAACAAATGCAGCGGGTTTAAACGTTTTAACAGGCGCCAACCTACACCCTAACCTGCAACAGTAGTATAACATTACAACATTGAAAGACACACTATAAAATATCAACTGAAATGGCTCAACCCGATCAAAAAGAAATATTGACAAATACAATATATTACAAATATGTTTATTGATCAATAACTACATCTTTCTTGAGTTCAGCTCTTCAAACAGAATAACCAGTGGGACGTTGTTCGTTTGACTTAACAGTACTCAACGCTATTGAATGCTACGATTGTCTTAGGGAATACTAGAGATTTCCAATAAAATGACATTACTCGACATAACCGACCTATCTCACCGTATCTCGGCCTGTTGCAGTGAAGGGCAGCATAGACTGCATGAATTGTTGACTCGTTGAATACACATACTTTGTTATGTTGAATGTTATTTAAAAATTAGCACAAACTACTGTTTTAATTCTTTACATATTTTGTTATTAAATTTGGGGTGATTTCATTGACAACAACCTTAAAGGGAATAATTAGTTAAGTTACCTGTAATCAAATACATAGATCATTATACTTCGTCATTTCACTTGACCCATATATTTTTCTCTCAAACGATGAATTCCTAAAGCTCATAAATCAAAATTAAGTTTGAACAAATAAAAATAACGGAATCTGAAGCGTGATCATATTCTCATTTTTAAGTAATAACAAGAGTTTCAAACACGCCGGAATGTAAAAGGTGTACACGACTTGCCTCTTCTTTATTTTTTGCATACTTCTATAATTTATTTCAAGATACTTTTGTCGAAAGGTAAAAATTCAGATTACGGATGCATCTTTCTCATAGTACTGTGTCACCTTTCCGTAATATTTTATCAAATGGAATTGATGAGGACGCATCTGCACGAAATATATGATTACACTTTACTGAATCATTTAATTTGTTTATATCTTGTCTTTAATTGTTATGATGCATGGATTCTAGGAAGAGCCCGTACAAACGTAGGTGTAATTTAATGTCAATGATCTTAAACTGATTTTTTTTCTGAAATATTTTGCGTTTAATTATACAAATACGTATGAAAAACGGACATGTACAGGCTATTTAATTGAATTTTTGTTAAGTAAGATGATCTTTTTTAGTTTTATGGCCAACTTATGATAGCATGGGAATATTATATTTACTGGTCTGTGCATCCTTCCGTTCTTCCGTTCTGATCAAAATATAAAACCTTTAAAATTATATACCAACTGTTAGTTTGGCCCAGATTAAGTGGTGCACTGAACTTGGAGTTATTATCATGTGAAGGGGCACGGTGTCTTCAGGCCACACATTCATGTTGCAAATGTTCTGATTAATACACGTTCATGTATATATATCTCCAGGATTCATAACTGTCTCTTTGGTCGCGCGCTTGTCTCGACAGTAACTTCTCAAAGGTGATCAAGGGAAAAGAAATATGGTCACTATTGGTCTTGTTCAGTTAAACCATTGCCAAAGTGGAGAGTCCGTTTAGATGAGCGGGATGTACAAGTACGCAGTCCCGTCCGTTCAGAGTGGGGACGTTAGATCCGATGCCTCTTTTAGATACAATGTCACGCTCTCTACATGTTAATTATGCATGAAATATTTGCCACTGGACGTTAAGCAACCAAATGTCAATCAATCGACAGTAGCATAACTTGAATTTTATTTCTGGTGAGGCAAATGATTTGAATCTTGGCAGTTAAAGCCTCACCTTGGTTTAAAGACGTCAATACCAGTAGGAATGCCAAAATAAATGAATCGCAAAATAGGTGTAGGTGATCATACTCTTGATAGGTCACACAATGGTAAAAAGATACTGTCTATGAAAAATCCAGATTTGTGGAATTCTATCATGAAAAAATATTTCAGATTCCTGTATGGATGATAATAACTGGGAGAACTATTTAGTCTTGCTTATACAAAACAAGGTAGAAGAGTACTACATAAAATGTATGAATGCCAGTGTCTGTTGAAAACTTTGCCCACCAAAAGTAACAAGTCCGTTGCCAAAAAAAACAACCAAGCATCATATCAGTTTCACGGGTATGACCTCTTGTTTGAATCAGTTTTTTGCGAGTTATACTTTGTCTGTTACTTAAAAAAGGTATGTGTATCTACCTTGTTCATTTTAAATTGCATCTTGGATCCGCATTTGGCAACAAAATCTTATTATATTATGTTGTTAAATGTTACTAACCTTACACATTTCCGTAAATGATTTACACATTAAAATAAATTCGGTGACCCCCTTTTAGTTGTTTATCAATAAAATGGATAAAATACTCTAAGTTAGTTCACTTCAAGGGATATCAAACATATTCCCTGGAAATATCTTTTGTATTTGAACTCTGATAGCATTCCTGTGAAACAAATTAATACAGAACAATCCCTAATCGAACACACCTTAATTCTAAAAAAAACAACATATATAGGGATTTCTTTATCAATAGATTTTATAATAAATGAAATATAATTTTGTTTATAAATTAAACGGAAGCGATAGTTTTATCTGAATTTTTAACCTTTATAAAGAGACAGATTCTGACAAATTCTGCTTTCGATATTTCTGAAATTGTCAGAAACATATCCTTCTAAATTTTCCCCGCAACAAATATAATAAAAAGATAGATAAACAATAAAGAAAGACATAGAAAAAAGTATAATGGGGCGTTCAACAGCAAAGTATATTGAAAAATAATTGTCATAATCAAAACCATGAAAGATAACTCGAATCGTACGTATGATAGGTATGGGATACGTGTGTAAATACGTGATCTTATGTCGGTAAAATAAAGGCGGGAATCTGGAAAACCACCTGATAAATAAAAATGCAATATTTCTATCATTTTCCGTCATGATAATTTTTTTTATATGGTCGAAAATTCCAGTGTGTGATTTTAAAAGTCTTGGAATATTTTGTTAAAACTTAAGCTACGTATTTAGTCAAATTCGATGGTTGGCAAAAACCCGTCCCATTAGGTGCGTGCGTCGAGTTAAGTACGTATGTCATTTTATTGGAAATCTCTACTATGACATTAGGTGACACTGTTTTATTATAACTTGAAGATATTTTGTGATACATAGTATGGTTTTTACACTACTTAATGATGTTGTGAAAATACTCAATATGGTTTAGTCTTTACTTAATGCTATTTTGATATTACATGATATGGTTTCGTAATGACTTGATATGGTTTCGTAATGACTTGATATGATTCCGTAATGACTTGATGATTTTGGCATTACTTAATATGATTTCGTTAATTAAAGTGGATGTGGCTTTAGGCAATAGGGTTTAATTATTACTTGGTATGTATGCGGCTACACGGAATATGGTTGATTCAGAACGTAATACGTGGTTTTGTTATTTCGTAACAATGATGTGTTCGTTCCAGTATTTGATATGGTTTTGTCATTATTTGATGAGGTTATCACAGAAATTGATGAGGCAAAACCAATTTCTCATTTTGTGAGGTTTCAGGTTGGTATTTCGACAAGGGCTTGAGGGACATGCGTAAAGTCAATTAAAATCGGGAAAATTCGTACGCAAAACACTATTTCTTTAACGTTAAGAGAATGTCCTCCGCCCTATGGTTTAATCAGCTAGATTTCCAATAATAATTCAATACAAATAGTTAAGATAAAATTCGTGCAGCGTAACAAAAGAGAGGCGAAAGGTAACAGAGAGACGTTCAAACTCATAAGTCGAAAACGAACTGACAATGTCATGGCAAAATATGTCAAAGAAACAACAACCCGACCAAAGAGCAGATAACAGCCGAAGGCCACCAATGGGTCTTTAACGCAGCGAGAAAATTCCGCATCCGAAGGTGGGCCTCAGCTGGCCCCTAAATAAAAATGTGTACTAGTTCAGTGAAAATGGAATTCATACTAAACTCCAGAACATATAAATAAACTGAAATTAAAAGATTAACAAAGGCCAGAGGCTCCTGACTTGGGACAGTCGCAAATAAGCGGCGGGGTTAAACATGTTTTGTTAGATCTCAACTCTCCCCCTTTACATCTAGCCAATGTAGAATAAAGAAACAAACAGCAATACGCACAGCAACACTTAGTTTAAAAGAAGTCCGAGTCCGATGTCAGAATAGGTAACAAAAGAAACTAAGCAAAATGATAACGATACATGAATTAACAAAGGACTACTAGCAGTTACTGACATGCCAACCCCTGACCTCAATTAAACTGATTGAAAGACTATGTCTTCATCATATGAAAAATCAAGCACAATCCCTCCCGTTAGGGATTTAGTATTATACCATCATAAAATATATGAAAAGAACATAACCCGTATCATGCCAACAACTGGTTTTAGAATAAATGTGTTTATTTCCGATGCAAAGATCCTATGAGTGAATCAATATTAATACCAAAAATATGCCATCCTTAATGACCTGACAACAGTATCGTAACTATATCCCTTCTGAATAAGTCTGTTTAAATGTTTGGTAAGCTTTTGAGTTGAATGTCGACATTTGTAAAGAATATTACCATAAAAGATTGGATGTGAAATACCTGAACGTATAAGATGTGTTCATGTTCATTTATATTTACGAATGATGTCCTTGTACCGATGATAAAATTTAGTAAATATTTTGACTAGTTTGTGATATCGAAAACCCTGGTGTAACAATTTTTCAGTAATACAGAGATTTGTTTCGTTAAAATCAAATACGTTGTTACATATACGAGCAAAGCGAACAAGTTGAAATATATAAACACCATAAGATGGTGTCAAAGGAACATCACCATCTACAAATGGATAATTAACAATAGGAAATGAAAAATCATCTCTTTTATCATAAATTTTGGACGTAAGCTTACCGTTAAAGATATAGATATCAAGATCCAGAAAGTTAGTTCGGTAGGATAAATCTCTTAAGTGTACATACTGAAGTCGTCATTATTGAGAGCCAATATATCATCCAAATATCTAAAAGTGTTTTAAATTTTTGAATCAGATGTTGTTTCGATGGGTCTTTGTTGATTTTTGTCATAAATTGTAACTCATAACAATACAGAAACAGGTCCGCAATAAGTGGTGCACAGTAAGTCCCCATGGGAATTCCGTTTACCAAAATATACCACCTTTAAACCTTTAAACATGTGACAACTTTAGCTCAGCCGTTCTTCGTCGGATATCCAGTAGATACACAGGTCTAACACTATAATAAATAAACAATTCCTATCAAATAAAGCACAAGAATGCATGCTTTGCGGCAATATTTGAACCCCCTGCTTTTGTTACATAGCGGCAAGACTAACTGTTTGGCACTGATATTGAGATATAAAATTACAGATATAGGAAGGTCTGTTCGTTAGTATTTTTGTACGTGCTGATTATATGAAAAAAGAAATACCAAAAGTGAAATGTTTCTATAATGAACTGGGTCAAATTAAGTTAAATATATAAAATATATCATTAAACATTTACTTGTTAATCGGTAACGATTGAATGTAATTTGAGTTTGTCAAAAATGTGATGCGCATACAATAACTTGATAAAATAATGACATTTTACTATAATTTAAACCTCGATTTGTCTATTCTTAATCGATTCATGAGATTTGCACATCAGCTAACTGTTTTTGCTTTGATTTATAATTTTTTTCAGAGATTTGAGTGGAAACAATTTGACATTTGTCAAGAATGACACTTTTGAACATAACATTAACTTGCAACATTTGTAAGTACAAATATATTTATTGAACGATTGATAGTTTTATGACGTTAACAACCGAGTTTGTTTATGTAGTATTAAATTATTAGGTTCTTATTTAATCGTGAGATAATGTGAGATAAGCACTTGGAACAAAAACCTAAACATGCGGTTGAATGACATTTGTTGATTGTTTTTAACATACAAACCTGATTACGAGGTAAATCTCAGTCGTTTAAATTGGCACATTAATCAAAATATGAATTTAACATGATGAATAATATAAACATTACAGTGTACAAAAGTTATACGTAAACTCATTTTACCTTCAAATCGGCTAGTGTAGTTATAAAAGGTGTTACTGTAACAAATCACCTGAATTTTTACAAATGTATCACAGGGATACATGTATCATAGATCTATGTAACAAATTCACGATTTAGACTGTTCTTTTATTTTTAAAGCACAAAATTATGAAACAGTTAGCAAGGTATTGAACAAAACTGTATTGTTTTGAATCGCTGTAGCTATCTCAGATGTAAGAGAAAAAATAAAGACCAGTATAAGCGAAAATGACGGCATAAATTTCTTCATTTGTTGATTTATACATATAAATGTGTACTGTTAGAAGCTGCGAAATTTATTTGATTTCCTTTGATAATGTCTAAAAAAAACAACAAATACGACTGTTAGTCCATTGTCTTATATCAAAGTTCACACAATAGACCATATTTTGTCTGTATCAGTATTTCACAACTTAGTTGACTAACATTGTAAATGCTTTAACCAAACAGTAACCACATTCCAACAATGATCGGTAATTTAACAAGACACGATTATTTTATTTATTTCTTTGTCTATATATCAATATATTGAAAAAGAAAATCTAAGAGTTAAAATGGTTTACAAAAATAAGACCAAAGATACGTTCTTAAACACGAAGTTACATGTAAATGATATATCATTTTTAAATTTCGAAAAGCAAAACAAGACAGTTGTTTTAAAATTCAAAGATGATTAGATTCAAACTCACGCATTACCTCATAAATAAGATTTTTTAACCAGTAAATGACATAAATTTGGTTCTTTTAATTATCTGCTTAAAGTTTCGATTATATTTCAATGATTAAATTTGAAATACTTGATTAGTGATGAATCGACAATTTCAACACAATGTTTGCACGTGGAATTTAATTCATCGTTCACCGGTAACAGAATCACAAAAGCATTATCGTTATCTCACTTTTACTTTGTTTCAGATATTTGTACAACAATAAAATAACTACAATACAGCAGGGAACATTTCAAAACTTATCAGGACTGTTGGAAATGTATGTAAATATGTTTATAAAAATAAACAGATGTGGTGTGAGTGCCAATGAGACAACTCAATTTCCAAGTCACGATGTATAAAAAGTTAACCACAATAGGTCAACGTACAGCCTTATTTTTTGTTAAATTTGCACTTGACAAAAAATTGTGCAGAATGTTTTTTTGTTTCAAATAAAGAAATATTTTAAAATATTTTAAAATAAAACCATGCCACCTAATGTCATTAGTTGAAAGGGTTTTATTATAACTTGAAGATATTTTGTCTTAACATTACATGGTTTTTACACTATTTATAATGATGTTGTGAAAATACTCAATATGGTTTAGTCTTTACTTAATGTTATTTTGATATAACATGATATGGTTCCGTAATGACTTGATATATGACCTACTGAATAATACTTATTACCGGATTATTACTAACATGAGCAACATGATGGGTGCCACATGTGAAGCAGGATCTGCTTACCCTTCTGGAGCACCTGAGATCATCCTCAGTTTTTGGTGGGGTTCGTGTTGCTTAGTCATTATTTGTTCTATGTTGTGTTTTGTGTACTAATGATCGTCTTTTTTTTAACCATGGCGTTGTCACTTTATTTTCGATTTACGAGTTTGAATGTCCCTCTGGTATCTATCGTCCCTCTTTGATATGGTTTCGTAATGACTTGATATGGTTTCGTAATGACTTGATATGATTTTGGCATTACCTAATATGATTTCATTATTTAAAGTGGATGTGTCATTAGGCAATGTAGTTTAAACATTACTTGATGTGTATGTGGATACACAGAGTATAGTTGTTTCGGAACGTAATATGTGGTTTCAGGCGTAAATATAAAATTTCAATCCTGGTATCTATGATGAGTTTATTTACAACCACTGGATCGATGCCACTGCTGGTGGAGATTTATTTCCCCGAGGGTATCACCAACCCAGTAGTCAGCACTTCTGTGTTGACTTGATTTATCATTGATATGTTCATAATTATAACTTAACTGTTAACAAAACTTTGAATTTTTGAAATACTAAGGCTTTTCTACCTCAGGAATAGATTACCTTAGCTGTATTTGGTAAAACTTTTAGGAATTTTTGGTCCTCAATGCTCTTCAACTTCGTACTTTATTTGGCATTTTTAATATTTTTTGATTTGAGCGTCACTGATGAGTCTTTTGTAGACGAAACGCGCGTCTGGCGTAAATATAAAATTTCAATCCTGGTATCTATGATGAAATGTTTTGTAACTTCGTAATAATGATGTATTCGTTCCAGTATTTGATATGGTTTTGTCATTTTTTTTTATGAGGGTATCACATCAATTCATGAAGCAATACCGCTTACCGTTTTTGAAAAAAATATATATTTTAAACCGAATTAAATGTCGTTTGTTGTATGAGCCTCGCGGGGATGCTATCTATCGAGTTAAATTTCGCGTTACTATTCTTGTTATTCAATTCTAGAAATCAAGCCATAATTAGAGTTAAAGTTCGAGTTAGAGTTGAGTTTACAGTTGCCATTCGAGTTAAACTTCAAGTTTAAGTCACATTTAAAGGTAAAGTTCTAGTTAAAATTCGACTTCAACTTTTTTCGAGTAACATTTCGATATATTTATAATGAGTACGCATTTTTAAGTTTCGTCGCAGATTCAGGTTTTAGGTTGATATTTCTGCAAAGGCATTGGTGCATGCTTAAAGTCAGTTGAACTCTGTATACAAAACACTCTTTTTAACGTAAAGAAGGAATGTCTTCCGCCAAATGATTCCATCGGCTACATTTTAAATAGTTATTTAATACAAATAGTTAAGATCAAATTTTTCCAGCGTAACAAAAGACAGGCGAAAGGTAAATAAGAGATATCGAAAACGAACTGACAATGTCATGGCAAAAGAAACGGAAGAATTTTACCTATTTGTATGGAAATACAATTGAGAATGGAAATATGGACAGGCGCAAAAATGCGGCGGAGTTAAACATGTTTTGTGAGATCTCAACTTATACCTCGAGCAAATGTGGAATGAACAAACACAAAGCAATACGCACAGATAAACTCAGTTCAAAAGAAGTCCGAGTCCGATGTCAGAATATGTGACAAAAGAAACTCAGCACATACATAAATTAACAAAGGAATACTAGCAGTCACTTACATGCCAGATCCAGATCGGTAAAGATTGATTGTAATGTGAGTTTATATAGAATGTGATGCGCATACAATAACTTAATAAGATAATGACATTTTACGATATCTTACCGCGATTTGTCTTTTCCTAATTGATTCATGAGACTACAACATTAGCCAACTGATTTTGCATTGTTCTATTAATTATATGTTTTCTTCAGAAGTATGAGTGGAAACAATTTGACATTTGTCAAGAATGACACTTTTGAACATAACATCAACTTAAAATATTTGTAAGTACATATATATCTATTGGATGATTGATAGTTTTCTGACGATACCAAACCGCTTTTCTAATGCAGTATTAGATTATTTGGTTCCTATTTCATTGTGAGATAATGTGAGATTAAGCTATTGCGACATGACCCTAAACATGTGGTTGAATGAAATTTGTTGATTATTAAACATCCTTAACTGTTTACGAAAATGAAATTTGTTGATTATAAAACATCCTTACCTGTTTACGAGGTAAATTACAGTCTATAAAAAGTATAACATTTATCAATATATGAATTTAAGATGATAAAGAATATAAGCACAACCGTATTTGATACAAGAATAACCAAACATCTATAAGTTTAGTTTATAAGTTAGTGCAATAAAAAGTTTTTACTTATACGTTACGTAAAGTCGTTGTACCTTCAAATCGGCTAGTGTATTTATAAAAAGTGTTACTGTAACAAATTACTTGAACTTCTACCAATGTATCACTTCGACACATATTTCATAGATCTATGAAACAAAAACACATTTTGAATTATTAATTCAATTTTAAATGCATACAGTTATGGAACAGTTTGCTAGGTATTGCACAAAACTGTAATAGTTTGTATTGTTTTGACTTGTCGTAGGTGTGTAAGATGTAAGAGTAAAAAAAAGTAACATCACAAAAATACTGAACTCCGAGAAAAGTTCAATCGGAAAGTCCCTAATCACATGGCAAAATCAAATGACAAAACACACCAAACGAATGGACAACAACTGTCATATTCCTGACTTGGTACAGGCATTTTCATATGTAGAAAATGGTGGATTGAACTAAATAGTGACCAGTAGAAGCGAAAAGATCGGCATAACTTCTTCATTTGTTAATTAATATATAGTGAAGCCTACTGTAAGAAGCAACGAAACTTATTTGATTTCCTTTGTTATGCCTCAAGAAAAACATATAGAACTGATAGTTCATTGTCTGATATCACTGATGAAAACCATGACGAAGTACAAACAATAGAGTATATTTTGTCTGTATGCCATTTTACATACCTCTATTACCTGCTATGTGTGGGAGGTATCAGGAAGAGTTGAGATCTCACAAAACATGTTTAACTCCACCGCATTTTTGCGTCTGTCCCAAGTCAGGAGTCTTTGTTAGTTTTGTATGTTTTTTAATTTTAGTTCATTTATATGTTTTGGAGTTTATAGATATAGGAAGATGTGGTATGAGTGCCAATGAGACAACTCTCCATCCAAATAACAATTTATAAAAGTAAACCATTATTGGTCAAGGTACGGCCTTCAACACGAAGCCTTGGCTAACACCGAACAACAAGCTATAAAGGGCCCCAAAAATTACTAGTGTAAAACCATTCAAACAGGAAAACCAACGGTCTAATCTATATAAAAAAACGAGAAAAGAGTCTGACTTCCCTTTTCACTTAACTAGTAAACATTGTGTTAGGGGCTTGCTGAAGCCTGCCTCCGATTGCGGAATTTTCTCGCTGTGTTAGCCTTCGATGGTTTTCTGCTATTTGGTCTCTTAAACACATTCCATATTTCCATTCTCAATTGTATTTCAATACATATAGATCAAATTCTTCCGTTTCTTTGGCCATGACATTGTCAGTTCGTTTTCGACTTATAAGTTTGAATATATCTTAGTTACCTTTCGCCTGTCTATTGTTACGCTTGAAGAATTTGATCCTAACTATGTGGTGTTCGAATTCACAATCTTTATGATGTGAGGCCGATGATTCCTGAAGATAAACTGTTATAACAAATCGGCTACTGAGGTCGTGTAATAGATTTAAGAACAAAGATTTAATATAGTTTTAGTTTAAAGTATTTATAAGTAGACCGATGTTTTCAGGATACTGTCATGTAGTTAAATGGGCTAATGATCAAATGGAAAGATTTTGTCAAAACCAAATGTTTTTGAAGTTACCTGCATTATTAATAAATATAGATCATAAATCTAATTTAAAAAAAAAAATAAAGAAGAAACCAAAGATGATTGATGTTTTAAAGGGTGGTAAACACTTTTTGATAATTTCAAACGAGATTTCTCATGATCTGAATTAAGTAAGTGGAGTAAAATCTGGAAGGGGGAAGGTTTAATATACATATGAACCATTAACATCAGGCTGAATTTGTTTATTGCGAAGTTCATTACATTATACAATATTATTTACAATTATACGATACATATTCTATACTTATTGACAGGGTAAGATTTAAAAAGTAAGTTTATTGTCCCCCGAGGCGAAATTATTGACCTGAGGCGTAGCCGAGCTCAATAGTTGTATCCGGGGGGACAATCAACTTACAATTCCACGGATATCTAGCCATTAAGCGTTTTATTATACCGAAAGAGACAACAGACAATAAATGTTGGGGCTAAAGCTAATATTGTTATTTCGAAAGCAGAAACACAACCATACTGTTTAATCCTCTTGTTGCCGATGGGACGCATGTGTCTATACTGGTTGTACCGGAGGGACACGTTTGTCCATGTTTTAATTAATGCAAGCTTCTCATCATTGCTGTATCTCTTTTAAATAAAAGACCGATTATGAAACAGTGTAATATTTTTCTTCAACGGCTCCCAAATGCGACGGTCATTAATGCGTGACGTCATATATCAAATGACGCCATTGTTGGGCATTTGATATCCAATACGTCCAAAACTCATCATAGATACACTGTCGTATTTTCTGGTACAGCAAATTACAAACTTAAAAAACTACTGGCTGCAAGAGGGTAAACGTTTGCTTTTCTGAATGCTGAGGATACGTCCCACACTGACTTCAACCATAGATACAATAGATAAAAGCAACGTCCTAACTCCCTCGGTATTCTCAACATCCTCGAATCCCGAAGCTGCAGTTGAAATTCTGCGAAATATTATGACGCTTGCGTTCAAATAGTTTCATCGACGGAAAATAGTTGGAAATTATTGACCGGACAAATAGTTCAACACTTGCAATTTGAAAAATAGTGAAATTTTTTGTGTACTTATTCTATATAGAAAATGTTATAAATTATATACCTGATTGTGTAATTTGAATTTCTTTGTGTATATATACACAAAGAAATAAGTTAAGCACCCCTTGATATATTGCATTATAGTTTTTTACCAAAAATGTTAATTTGAATTTAAATATTGATTTTAACTAGACCAATGTACCTTTAAAAAGATGTGACCATGCAGGTGTGACAGGTCATTAAGATATCGACGTATCGTGCACGTGAACTATTACATGCCTCCTAAGCAAGATACAAAATGCAGTTTCCCCGCGCTACAAATTTTAGTATTAAAGTCCGGCGATTTGAAAATTTTATTCAAACTCTGTGAACATGGTACGAAGACGAATATCGGAGGCTCAAAGATGGCAGAGTATCGTCATTCGGTCATCAGGATTCTCTAATATAGCTATTGGACGTCAGATGGGCTACCATTATACTGAAGTCAGCAGGCTTGTGCGGAAACACATCCAAACAAATAACGTGAAAGACTTGCCAAGATCCGGTAGACCACTGGTGACATCGCAGCGTGAAGACAGGGCACTGCCACGCCTGATTAGACGAATGTCATTCACAACAAGTCCTATTCTTAAAAGAGAATGGTTACCTTATAGACAGCTATCAACCAGAACCTTGTGGAACCGGTTGAAATCAGCAGGACTAAAGTCAAAGAGGGTAATAAGACGTCAAATGTTAACTGACCGATATCAACCACTGTGTTTAGCATGGTGCTTAGCTCGTCGTGATTGGAACTTGAGGAACTGGCGCAAGATCCATTGGTCAGACGAAAGCCGGTTTCTTCTGCATGTTACAGATTGAAGATTGAGAGTTTGGAAACATAAAAGTACAACATATACCCCAAGGAAATCCAAGCAACTGTCCATTACGGTGGAGGCTCCGTGATGGTATGGGGTGCATCTCTCATGACTGCAAATTGGACTTGGTGACTATACGAGGAAACCTTATTGGTGATCAATACGTACATCAGAGACGTTCTTCAGCCAGTAGTTGTACCTCATTTTGATAACCACCCATTAGTTGCAAGACCTGTGTTTATGGATGACAACGCTAGGCCGCTTCGTTCAAGGGCGGTTCTCGCATTTCTTTAAGGCGAAGCAGTAACTGCTCTTCCATGGCCTGCCATGAGCCCGGATTTGAATCCGATAGAGCATATTTGGGACACGTTAGGCCGTCGGGTAGAGGCAGCCGAACCACCTGTACAAAATTTACGTCAGTTGGAAGCTGCATTGCACCGGGAATGGCGTAAAATACCACAGCAGGAAATCCGACGACTGACTGGAGGAATGAGACGCAGAGTTGAGGCCTGCATCCAATCACGTTGTGGTTTCAACCGATATTGAATATTGAACTATAAATATCGTTAACAGACTTACAATGAACGTTTTCTAAGTGAAATGACAATAGTGTTATGCAAAACGAACTCAGACGGTCAATACTAAAAATGGACATGTTTTAGTGTTCAAACTGGGCTTGTGGTTTTGTGACAATCTATTCAATAAATTATCATTTTTGTTGCAACTTCCTGTGTTTTTCTTAAAGCTAATGTTAGGTCCTAACAGGTTGCATTACTATTTTTGCTACCATTTGTTTCGGGATCCCATGATCCTTATTGTAATATTGGTCAATTCGATAAAACGTGAGGGTGCATAACTTTTTTCTTTGTGTATATTTATATTTCTAATTTATTCAAATATCCGTATTTTTATATATTTAACAGTTTAAAAACTTAATTACGAATGTGTTGTATTATGTGTTTTTGAATTGTAATATCATACTAAGCTAGACTGTAATCAAAAATACATGATGCTAAATTTAATCACTTCAAATTCTAACAGAGATCTTGATCTAGTATGTGATTGCAACGTTCCGTTTTGGTCCTGGGTAAAATCACAGTCGTTTTATGAAGATTTTGTCACCTGTTTGGATCGGGATAATGTTATACTGTCAAGTCTTCAAGAAAGTGATTTCGATAACTGTACCTGTAAGTATTCTGATGATAAAAAAAGAGCTCTCGGGAGAGAAAGACAATGATAATAAAAAAAATCGCTTATATTGAACAACATGTGTAATTTAAGCGTTTTGAATACAGTCATTTGACTTAATTACAAAAGACGTTACAATGAAAAAATATAGATGTGGTCATAAAAAACCAAAGAAGCGAACTATGTATATGATATGAGCAAAATGTGACCGTTTACAATTCTACTAATGCGTGTATCATGATTTGTTACTTGGATGGAGAGTTGTCTCATACCACATCTTCCTATATCTATCATGAAATAAATTTTACTGATAACACTTGATGAATCTTCACGTTGCGAGAGAAAAAGCTAGTTCTCTAATGTTTGTCTTATTTTCACATTTCTTGAGCGGTCTGAGAAAATATTTCTCATCACTAGTGAATTATCTGTTTTCAGCAAATGATTGGTCGAAATTTAATTATGACGTTAAATTTTCTTGATTTCTTCTGAATTTCCCTATTGTGACGTCCTGAAAAAAGGGGACCATGCCTTATGACGTCACATATAGAGAACACAACTTTCTGCAAATCTTTAAAAAAGGTAGGATAAAAATCATTTGAGAAACAGATTCAACCACTATAACTCATGTATTACGATATTTCTCCACTCTCAACAGTTAAATTTTAAATATTTAGAAAGCTCGGCAAGCCTCGCGCTTTAAATATTAAAATTTAACTGCCTCGAGTGGAGAAAAATATCGTTAAACACTTGTTGTTGCAGTGAAGGAATCTATATTTGCATATAAAGATGAAACAAATGGAGGCTGATAAGTATTTTTTTACATTAATAAAGAGGATCGTTATATTTTTTAGATATACGTTGAGGTGACTCGTAATTTGTGCAAACAAGAAATGAATATATCATTCAAACTAGTCTAGTATACACAAATATAACGCAAATTTCAAAAGAAAAATGAAGAAACATAGAAGAGCTATAACAACGATAGGCTTAGGAAATATATGTTCACTTTAAGTGCCAACAAAAACTGTGTTTTTGTGAATAAATACAATCCAAATCGTTGGCGTAAAACAAAAATAAAAGTAAATCTTCCGAAAACTGGATAATAATCCTTTTTTATGAAAGTTCACTTTTCCACAATTTCAGTTTTTATTGGATATTAATATATCTCCATCGATTTTTTCATTGAAATAATTGCTGCTTGTTGTTTCATTTGTTTTTATTTTTTGACATGGTCTTACATGTATATATCTCCTTGTTATACGCATATATCTTTGTAAGAGAAAAACCGTGTTTTTCGATGAAACCGGAAAAAAAAAACGATAAAAAAAATGATTTATTGTCATTAATGTTAACACGTCAATGTCGAAATATTTATGGCATCAAGTGACATAAAAAATGACTTTTATAACTAAAGTGTCAAGATAATTCCACAATATTCTTTAATTAGTATAATTAGCAGAAATATCAAAGGTGTTATCTTGGTTTTTTTTCAATCCAGTAAAGAAATAAGGGATCCTATCTTCCTCTTCCTGTATGTGTTTCTTATTGCCTATCTACAGTTGGTGTCTACTCAATTAACGGTTTTCACTGTAATTGACTAACATGTAAATTTGAAGAAAAAACGCGTCCTCAACCAAAACGTATAACAATTGGATCAAGTGATAAATGGTAGATTACACAAAAATAACAAATAAAAAGCACGACGCTAGGAACAGAACAGTATATTTCTTTTTAACAAAAGTGATCGGAGTACAATTGACAAAAGTACGTTAAGAACGCACAACTAATTGGTAACTTTTATTTATTTCTATAATTTTATTTTTTAGTTATTTGTCATGCCTTACCTACACGAAAACATTAGAATTGCATATTCCAATTCAAATTGTTATTTTTACACTTATCACAGACAAATCGTGTTATCCTGACTATTGTTCAAATGGTGGATCTTGTAGTCAAAACAGCTATGTTGATTTAGTATGCTCGTGCGTCGGCGGGTGGACTGGTACTACATGTACAGGTAAATGGAATATACACAGAATAGAAAGGTTATAAAATTGAAAATGGAAATGGGGAATACGTCAAAAAATACAACAATCCGACCAAAAAGGAGAAAACGGCCAAAGGCTACCGATGGGTATTCAACACAGCAAGAAAATCCCTCATCCGGTGTCAGGCTTCAGCTGGTCCTGAAACAAAAATGTGAACTAGTGACGGACGTCACACTAAACTTCAAAACATATAAATGAACTAAAATTGGTAAAAAAAAACATACAAGACTAAAAAAAACAGATACTCCTGACTTGCAAAAATGCGGCAGGGTTAAACAGGTTTTGTGAGATCTCAAACCTCTCCTAAGCCTCTATACCATGTTTCAGTGCTAATACCTATCAAACTCTGATGAAAATACAACTATTATCATTAAAACAAAACTAATATTTGGTGAATGCAAACTAAAAAAAGAACTGCATTATCCAATTGATACTGATATGATTTATTTATGATTAAAACAGACCATACTTTAACTTTATATAATATGTTATGGTCAATGCTTAGTGGATACAACATGTACAATAAGGTTATATCTTCAAAAGCAATTTGTAATTTAAAGAGCACGCTAAGCTTAACACGCATACCTTATTTATTGAATTATTTACAATTTCTTTAATCATAACTGTAAGGTGTGTATTGCACACCGGTGTTTGGTATGATATATTACTTGTACAATTCGGATGAGAATGAACTAAACAATTAAAAGAGGGTTTCCAGAGGCATGTATACAATCTACTATTGAAAGTAGGTTGGGTAAAGATAAGCCCTTAGCTCTATCGTTGAAATCAGTCAGATTTGTAAACGAAAACAAAAATATCAAAATCATCTTTATCTATATTAAAACTTCCCATTTATTGCTATCATAATGATTTTCAGTCTAAATGTAAATGTTTGCAAATTGCTTTGTTATAATATACGCATTTATTAACGTTACCTATATAGAAAGAGAGAATTTAATTTAATGTTGTCGAAGCTATATCAATGAAAAAATAACTGCTATTTAATTATTAAACACTGTTTTTGTATTTCAAGTGAATGTATTGCATAGTTTATGCTATTCTAATACTTTAAATTTCTTTTTATTACATCCAGGTCAAGTAACAATTGATAAATGTATTTATTTTCATCATCAGTAAAGAAAATTTAAACAATACATCAAGATCATAGTGTAACATCACAACAAAGAAAGACATACTATAAAATATCAAAATTCAAATGACAAAAGCAGGTGAATAAACACTGAACGAATCAATTTGATCAATGACGTATGTAAATACAATGTAAATAAAAATATTTTTATTCTTGTATTTCACAAGTATGGACATTATTGTGATTATGTGAAATAAAAAAAAACACAATACTTCATATACTATAACTTTTATTCAAATTATTTTCAATTTAAAAACTACAGCTCTAATGTGAAAAAGAAACGCGATCTACACCATAAGTGGAAATGATAAAGACAACAACAATATTATTTCAAGCTTGATCCATAAAACAAAACTATAGATTGATCAGCATGAATCCTCGAAATTAAGGTGCGCCAAACCTGTAAGAAGTTCATATTGCACTGATAGAAAAAGTTGGTGATAAGTCGGATTTTGTGACGTCACAACAGAGGAAACGTTGACGGAATTGTTGCTGCGACATAGCACATGTCCGTAGTCATCTGTGAAAAACCAATCATTATCGGTCATTCAAATTTACTATCCAGACAAGTAGTTCGTACATATTACTATCATAACCTCATTGCATTCATTTAAAATTATGGAAGTGTGATTTCCGTATTACGCTCAGTTTGAGTGTTGCTTGTTTTTTATTTTTATTATCTTTTTTTAGCTATATTGAAATCTTAAAGAATTTCGTTTATTCAGGTGTAGTTAACTTTAATATTTTGAAGTCTAGAGTTCACAGGTGAATTAACATTATGAAGAGTTTTGATTATTTTTCGATGATATCCTCTGAATTACGTGTTTAACCCCCCAAAAAATGGATCAATAACGTAGATCTAGGAATAAAAAGAAACAATTCCGACTTTGTGTTAACTATAAATCAATAAAGGCAACAGTAGTATACCGCTGTTCAAAAGTCATAAATCGATTGAGAGAAAACAAATTCAGGTTACAAACTAAAACTGAGGGAAACACATCATCGACAAGAGGAAAACAACGAAATACCAGAACACAGAAGTGTAAGAAAAAAACGACAACAATGCAACATACATAGAAACGAAATATAAGTTAACAATTGCCATATTCCTGACTTGATACAGGACATTTTAAGACAAAATGGTGGATTAAACCTGGTTTTTGTGGCTAGCCAAATCTCCGCGCTTTATGACAATGTTAAATATACCTCTATATAGTTATATACAAATATATATATATATAAATCAACATATATAGTTGCACTTGGATAGCATAACTTATGTCTTTTTATCTTGGTCAGTCTATATTTCTGTCAGAGATTACATAATAGATGAACCATTGTCCATGTATGTGCGATCATGTTATTTTAGGGCATTTAATGCCATATCTTTGTAATTTTAATGTTTGATAATATTTTTTCATGCTAAACTTCTACTATACAGACTTTTTTTTTTAATTTTAAATTTGAATTCCGCTTGTTAGAATACAGCAAAAAATTGAAAAAAGAATTGGAGGGTAACCATATTACATTTTAGATACAAGCTGTTGAAAGTCACTGAATGATTTGCCAATAATACAAAGAATATGAGGGGTTAAACGGTAGGTATGGTTATATTAGTAGCAATTAGTCCACAAATTGTTTTTTTTTAATTGATTTACGTTTAAAGGTGAATATTGGATCGATTGTTGCAAACGGAGTCCTTTGCAAACTTGTCAATTTTTAAGCTTAATCATGTGAAAGTTTTAAGCTTTAGCAGAAAATTAAAACAAAAAACAAAACAATCCGCAAAGTTATTAATGTGCACATCGAAAATGCCAGAACTTGTAACGGTATAGCTTTTTGTGACACACCGTTTGAAAACCGTGAGTGTGTATCTGTCATTTTGTAAATCAATACAAATATTCAAGTGTGTTCTAATGAAAGGAAAATATACAGACCAATTTTCAAAGGCATCCTCCAAGACACAAATAAAACTATAGCAAAATAAATGTACTGTAACCAAAATCCATGTTTTTTAATATCAAAAGTTACTTATGGGGTTTGATTTCGTCACGTTTAACATAGCTTTGACAGAAAAATGACATTTTTAATCGGTTTTAAAAAAGGAACTCAATGTTTCGTATGAACTTCTTTTTGTTTTTTTCTACATCTGTGGATGTATTTTTTCTTAAATTTAACCATCATCTTCTGAATCTCATCCTCACTATTTCCGGTGCTTTAAATATGAGATATTGCCTAAAATCTGGTCTACACCAAATCTTTATTTACTTTTTTACAGACAGGAACGCATTTTCTCGCATGACAGAAGCTAGCTATTTCCTTTTATGGGTAAACCGTCCATCAAGTGAAGGTTCTTAAACATATATCTACCGGCTTGTTAGCTGACTTCAGATGATGTGAGAACAACAATACGTAAAATACGAACACTATAAAATGGAAATGTTATAAAGGACGAACAACCAGAGCGTAAGACTATTTTCGAAATCAATGCATTTTGCTTTGCTATTTTTTAAATGAATAGAAATTTTTCATTCAAATTACAGTTTTGTAGTAGTATATTATGATTCCTGAGCATACAAATACATTTGATAGGTTTATCTATGTTTTATTTACAATAGTGCTTAATATCTACAGAAGAATATTTATTAAGGGGAAGTATAATCACTTTAATGAAAGACTTGGTAATTATAGATACAATATCTTTCAAAATGTAATATCAACGTCAACATTTGGGTTTGGACAATTTGCCTTCGTTGGTTGCATTTGGAACAAGGCAAAGATAAATTTGTTTGTCAGTAATCAAGTCCAGTTAATCTCAGAAAGTCATGTTACAAAACAACATTTGGACAAACTATAAACATCAGAAGAAGTTTGTTTTTTTCAAATTTCATGTTTTGTTTATATTATCAACAACAAAATAAAAGTCAACAAAATTACAATTGCCAGTACAAAGACAATTATTATAAACTGTATTGATGTTTGTGCTTAAACCAAATGAATGTGGCAATATATAATAAAACAAACCTAAACAACTCGCATAACTTAAGCATATTTACAATAGTGAATAAATTTAAGTGCTTCCAATTATTTCTTCATTAAAGGCATGTCTTCGTCTTTTCTTAATAAAAACATTAAATATTTAGCATTCTGTTTAAACAGTTGAAAATCCATAGTTTTTAATGCTTGGCATACGGGGTAAACAAAATGGTTGTCATGTGAATACTTTTTTCTAGTATTCACACTATTGTACATTTTTGTTTTGGAAAGACTACCCTTGTATATCTAAAGTTATCCTAGTAAAAGTGTATCCTTACTTCAACGTATTCTCTTTAAACATACTTTGAAAAACTTCGTGTAGATAACCTGTCCATAGATACCAAGTTAAAATCGTGTACGCCCGACGCGCGTTCTGTCTTCAAAAACGTATCGGTGACACTTGAATTAAAATATTGAAAAGACAAAATCAAGTTTTGTTTATATTCTTTAGAGTTTATTTACATGTTTCACTCTTAAAATTTACTCTTACTCGTATTGAGGGTACTTTTCTAATTATATTTTAATTTCATTTTTAGATAGTTTGATACATTACAAGCAACTTTCATCGAAAAATCAACTTGGTGTTAATTTCTGGATAAGCTGATTTGTTGATGTGCGAATACTTTTTTGATGTCCAAGGTAATATTATTAAAGAAAAGTACTATAAAAGATATTTAGGTTAAAGACAATCTTTCTTGAACAAATCACTCATTTATGCAATGATATGAATATCTTAAAAACCTTTATTGTTAACAGTCACACGAACCAAAACGTCTTCCTCGAATTTTCTCTTACTGCGATAGAAAAACGTCAAAGTTCATTACACATTGTTATACAGGATGTTTATATTGATAAATTCTAAAAATTCTCTTAATACTGCGCTTGTACATGTTGTATCCACCGAACAGGAAACTAAACTATTCCTATCTGCTCCTTAACAAATGTATAATTCAAATCTTAACCTTTAAACTGAAAAGATGAGGTTCTATGTGCACTTCCGAATCCCAGCATGGACTAATATCAATCAATCCATACAGTTATATAGGGCTTGTCTTGTCGCGTCAATTCAGACTTGACAAATAAGCAACAACGGCCAAGCTGATTGTATTCAACTTTAGATTCTGGGAGTATGCATCCCTTCATGCTTCTGCAGCTATGTTAACGATCAACTTTATCTGATAGATAACATTGTCTGATAGATACACATATTGACTTTAAAAGACCTTTATAAATATTTGTATTTAAGTGTTTTTAAACATGCTTAAAACCGCTGACTTAATCTTGAAGAGTTTGAACTCAGTTTTAGCTATGCAAATTTATCAATAATACGTCATTTGCAGGTGGTTTGAGATTTTCTTTTTACCACAACTATCCAGTATTTATTCAACCGATATTTTAATCTACTTTGAGTTCAAGATTTGCTTTAGATGCTATCAGAATTCCAAGCAAATCATCATGGCGTATGTTCAAATTTCGACGATATGATTTCAACTTTATCATTAGGAACCCTTAGACAATAATGATTGAAACGCAAACTCTACAACATCAACGGTTCTAGACGTCATATATTCTTTGTGTATAAGGCAATATTTCATAGTGTTTCAACTGTCATAACTTAAATGTATTTTGCAGTTAATCACTGGCGTATGAATCAACAGGCAAAGAGGGGGAGGGGGTTGTATCCTTAATTTGTAGCCCCAAAATTATAATGCAAATTTATAAAAAGTGTGATGGAGGCCATTGACCAACTGTTTGACTTCTAGACTACAGATGGTACTTTTACCTTTCTATTTGTACAATTACATTGGTTAAAACCAGTGTATTTACGTTGTAGAATACTAGTACTTATCTGTCGAATCAATGACAGCAGTAGTAATATGTTTACTATTCCCGATTGTTCGCTTTGCAATTCATATACTTTCGCATTGCTTTTTATGAGTTGGATTTAGAATGTTGCGGGCATAGTTCGAAGAACTAATAGTTGTGTGTTTACCTTTCTTGAAATTGCTATAAATTAGCCATAAAAATAACAAATCTTATAATACTAAGTGAAATCATCAGGAGATAAAGTAGAAGAGGAGCAGTAATAGGAATTACAAATTAACTTGAAGTGACGTTAAAGAGAAAAACTTTATTTTAAATGATGATGCTGCTACAAAATCGTTTCAATTAATGAAAATCACATTTTAGATAATGTACGACATTACATCATTGTACATCTTGCCGTGTTATACGTCAATGAAAGATTTTAATTGTTATCGTATAAAACATAATTGTATTACTCAATATCTTTTACAGAAAACGTATGACAGAGTTGGAGAACATTTGAAGTGCTTTTTGAAAGACACAGGAAACAAGACAATTGAAACTGTATTAAACCAAGAGGACCAAAGCTTCAACCATGCCAGATTTCAGACGAACGAGCCCTTTAAGCAATCAAAGCTTAAATCATCTGACAAAGATGAATCAATGTCTTGAAAGGACTCTAGTAGAAACATCATCAGAACCTTGTGACTTTTACGTTATTACTTTAGAATGTTATATTAACACTATCTGTAAACGTAGTTATATAATTTGAAAACTTTTAGTATATACTTGAAAAAGAGTATAAAAAGGTTAATAAATGGTAAAAATGTTGACAAAGAATAGAAAACAAACAAAAAAAAAAAAAAAAAAAAGAAAAGAGAAAAGAAAAAAAGAAAAAAGAAAAGAAAAAAACAGAAAAAAAAACAGAAAAAAAGATAAGAAAAGAGGAAAAGGAAAAGGAAAAGAAAATAGGAAAGGAAAAAAGGAAAAGAAAAGAACAGCTCAAATCTTGATAATCGGGAGGGTGGTGGGTAATGCAGCCAAGTGTTTTCTTGCCAGTCACCAGCCTGGATGAATGCAGAGTGACCATCTTAGTGTGAAAGTCAAGGATTTTAAACACCATGAAAAACTGTCTTTTAATCCTATAATCAAGGTTATCAATTCACAATAACAATTTCCTTCTACTAGTATCTAGAATATTTCAATTCGAAATGTCATTGATTTATCATGAATCGGAGTACCCTTCAGATTACAGGAGGAAGATGATTTTAACGTCCACGGTCACCATGAATAACTGCAAAACATCGATAACAAGTGGTTGTATTCGTGTATAATTCCAAACAATGTTCAAGGGCTGTTGGTAGGGAAATATAAGCAAAATTATAACTCAGTTAGATTGTAAAAGTATACAAATGTTTCATACCGACGTGATAATGCTTAAGAAAGAGAAGCCTCATATACAGTCCCTGTAACGTAAAAGTTAACACTTTTTTCATTCGGGAATCGTACGTACAGCGTTCGGGAATCGTTCGTATAGAGTTCGGTCATCGTTCGTACATCATTCGTATAGCGTCCGTACAACGTTCGGTCAGCGTTCGTTCATCGTTCGTTCATCGTATGGTAAATGTCATCGTTTAGGGTTTTGTATATCGTATGGTTCATGGTATCGTTAAGCGTTTTATTTGTCGTATGGTACATGGTATGGTTTAGCGTTTAGCGTTTCGTTTATCGTATGGTATATGATATCGTTAAGCGTTTCATCTATCGTATGGTATATCGTTTTGTTAAGCGTCTGATATATGTTAGGGTTTTATTTTAGAAAGTTATTTCAATTATTATTTTGAGTTAAAATAAATTAATATAAAAAGATGCAGGATAGAAAAAAAACAATTGAAAGTTGGTTGCGTACTTGTATATCCCAAACAACCAAACGGATGCCCCCACTTTGGCAAGTTTTGTTTTACTGCCAGCCGTAAGAAAACCTTTAGTGACCATATTTATATCCTTTTGTCACCTTTTGGACTATATTAGAGTGGAAAGATTGGATTGGAAACATTTCACTTGTTAATTAAAGCAAATAAGTTATCTTATTTACTATATATTTTGTTTCATACTAATTGCGTAGTTCTTGATGTCTTTTTGTAATTTTGAATCATTTCAAATTCGATCTTATAAAATGTTAAAAAAAAACTAACCTAAACAATACCCTTAGTTAATTGAAACGTGAACTATTTATTTACATAAAACATATTTAGTCGTAAAAATAGTATTGGTTGTAAACGTTTTATCTTGATTGAGAAACGTTTAGCAATGCAATAAACTTACTTTAAATGTACTATAACTTAACGTAGATTTCGAACTGTAAACCATTTCTTACCGATAGAAAAAAAAATCTGCAACTAATATCATTATAGAATACCCTGCTATATAAAACGAAGGGGAAACATTTCCTTACATCACATTTTGACATGAATAACATGAGACCAATTTGAAATACCGCGAATAAGTCTCTCTCTTTCTCTCTCTCTCCTCCATCAAATATTTCCTTGAAACAATAAATTATATATAATGTTCTATAAATGAGGCTTTATATGAGATACACGTTTTATATCTAAATGTATTTAAAAAAAAGACAAGACATCTATGGTATTTGTTCCCCTCAATGTCACAGTCTGATATAAACCGAAAATTGCCAGGGATATATAAAAATTCGTTGAAGACTTCTACACGTCGCTTGTGATTCCTGCTGTCGGTGTTAAAACTGTTATTTTGACTGTGAAAAGTGCTTAAGTACACGTATGAGTAAAATACAGAATTAAAAAAATAACTCTACCGTTTTTTATATTTCTTCTTTCTTATATTGTTCTGTGTACGAATACATGAAATATTTGTCACTGGACGTCATGCATGCAATCGATGATCAAATACAAATCTACAGTATTTATAAACATACTGCAATTGTATATATGAAAGAGACTAAATAATATAAATTTTAATTATTTTACGCATATTTGAAGGATCGAAATAATCAGTTCTACAAATGGTTGTTATTGAAAGACTTAAAATTTTACAAATATCACATGCCTCTATGAAATTTCATATCGACGCACCAAACTATTTCCTTTTATCGTGCATAGCTCATTTTCCGATTCACTTAAGGTTTTTAATGATCTTCTTACTTGTTCATTACATTCTAAAATTAAAATCCTACACAAATTGCCAAAACTTTTATTCTCAGGCTAGACAGCGTAAAAGATGAATACTGTTTTGTTAGTGTACACACGGTGTTTTGAAGGCCGATATCCAATTTCGCTGAAAAAGAATTAATTTGCGCCGCAAATTAATTACGCCAATTCTTTTTTTGTATCACTTTATTTTAAAAACTGCAGCATTCATTTGCGCCAATAAAACAAGCATTTAATTGCGCAAATGTTATAGACTTATTTGTTGTTCCTAGTGCACTAAGGAGGCTCTTTGCGGTATTTCTACTTGTTCACTAAGAACAAAATTTTGCACTAAGGACCAGTCCTGATGGAATGATAGAATTGACACAAAAAACATGGCATATAGAAGGAGACTTTCTAAAGGAACATAATTTCAAATTTTATAATCATATCTTTAGTAATTATAAATTTATTTAATGTTTTATCGACACGCGCCACCCTCCGTTGATTGTCACCTTTGTAATCAAGGAATTGTATATTTAAAAGGAATGGAAACGCGGCCGACTTCAAAGAAAATTGTATGATGCATCTCTGACTTGGGTTGTGTGTTAATTACATCCCGTCGCTCTAACTGGCTCATTACTTATCTGGCAGTAGTTATCGAACTTGGTCATTTAATCATTAAACGAAGTTACTTCTGAAAAACATTTTTTTTCTTGTACCTCCTCTTGATATTTCACGAAGGTATGCAACAATTAAGATCAATTAATAGATGAAATCTGACATTATACGAGTTTTTAAAAAGATTTAAGGTAATGTAAAAAGTTTAAAAAATAACTTTTCAATTTTGGAATATGACTGGTATAGAAAAGTATAAAGGAAGTACGTGAACAGATGAAGTATTTTATCTAGATAAAAGAACTTAGATAATAGGTGTTATAATAAACACCAGTATGGGATATCCAATTTGCATGTATAATCTATCATGTATCATTGATAAGCTAATTTTTTTCGTATATATATTTAGCAGGAACAGTGTATACTAACTATAGGCTGTCCCTGATTTAAGGTGTCAAAAAGAAATCACGCCGAGCTCACCTGTTAATAAATGCTAAATTGTGTCGTGATGCAATAATTTTTTTTAATTAGAAACAGTTAAAACTTTTCGACATTCGCATATTATTTATTTTAACACCGAAGGAATATTTTGCGACCTCTAAGACTACTGCTCTTCTAGAAAAAAGGAAGGAACTGTTTTGCTTTTAAGCTTGTGGTAATTTGCTGCAAAGCTTAATAATGGCATACTACAATACCAAACAACGAGTAAGTATAAAAATAGTATTTGACAAAAAAATAAATGATTAAAATCGTGTATAAAACGGCACAATCAATCCGAATCGGAAGTCTTATATACATTTCTTGCCTGTAATTTCCGACTTCGTCGGTGTGGAACTTGACTGAACAAAATGGCGTCAATGTGAACTATAAACATGGGATTTTGAAAAATCATAGCAAATTCGTTTTTATCACCATTTTCATAAAACCAACACTATGTGATAGAAAAAAGACTAAGCTTTTTAATTGTATGTCAATGTCACATCTATTTAAAGTAGTTATTTAACCCTTACCAGAATACGGCATGTTGGTGTATTTATTGACGCACTACTTAAAATTTTCAACATGTTTCGAAATAAAATCATTTACATTGTACCAATATCATTTAGCATTCGTAATTTATACCAAACTGTAGGAAAATATTCCTTCTTTAAAATGATATCTCATTTTCTCACTTTATTCTTTCTACTTTCCAATATTTAGAAGAAATCGTATTACACTCCCAGATTGAAAGACGTGTTTTGACAGAATAATGAAATTCAAAACTGAAATTTCGAAAAATCGTAGAAAATTCAGAAATGTTACCAGAAACTTTAAAAAATGGCATAATAAGGTTTCAGCTTCATAATGATCTCAACTATTTTGTTGTGTACTTCGTAGTTGCCGAGCTTTTAGAAAAAATCAAAACACTGTATTTTTGTTTTGTAATCTGGATGAAACTCGCTCAAGTTTCAAGACCGAGGTCTATTTTAATAAGAATTTTCATAATAAAATATTACAAACGTATGTTCGATGAGGCATTAAAATGACACCTAAGGCCTTAACTATTCACGGAATGGAAGTTTATTCTTGATTTTGGGTTTCTCTCTCCGTTATATCTTCTCTAGCAAGATGACCCCGTGAATTTAAAAGAATGATCTATATGACAGGAAATGGACCACCGTCATGATTCTTTATATTATTCATCATACTTCCGACCGAGTCAGACATGGATTATAGCTCTGCGGGTGCTCTGTGGGTATCCCGATTGATCTCGAGTCGCGTTTCCATTCCTTTTAAATATACAATTCCTTGGTGTAATCGATAGAAATTCATGTTCGTTCAACCTTGACCCGTTTTGAATCCGCTTGTATTTTAAATTAACATGTTTATGATATTTCAATTTTCTCTGATTTTTTTCGTCTGTTTGTTCTGAGACTACTATAAATTTTTTAGTTCAATGTAATAATGTTTGTTCTACTATTTTTTTTTTTTTCCTTTTAATTTCTCTTGGTTGTTGTAAACTTCACTTTTTTATAGTTCTCTAGTATTTTTTTATTAAAAAATATTTTAGAATGTATATACTTGTTTACCAGCACATTAGATACACATGTTCAAA